GCTGCTGATCATCCTGTAGGTCATTTACTAGACTCAGCTGTGTGTATGAAAACACACGCCTGTTCTATTGAGATAAGCAGAACAATTTTATATAATATACTTAGAAGAAAGTTCAATTGAATGGCTTATCCCAAAGCGAATGCTCCTAAAATAATATCATAGCCATAGGCCAGGGGTAGGCGACCTTGGTTCTTTTATGACTGGTGGACTTCAACTCCCAGAATTCCTGAGCCAGCCATGCTGAGGGGAAAGGGAGAGGTTTCCAAGCTGAGCCATGCTGGCTCAGGAATTCTGGGAGTTGAAGTCCACGAGTCATAAAAGAGCCAAGGTTGCCTACCCCTGGTCTAGTGATTAAGGCACCAAGCTAGAAAGCAGGAGATGATGAGTTCAAATACCACCTTAGCCATGAAAATCAGCTTGAGTGACCTTGGGCCAATCGCTTTCTCTTAGTCCAGGGGTAGGCAATGTTGGCTGTTTTATGACTGGTGGACTTCAACTCCCAGAATTCCTGAGCCAGCATGGCTCAGCTTGGAAACCTCTCCCTTTCCCCTCAGCATGGCTGGCTCAGGAATTCTGGGAGTTGAAGTCCATGAGTCATAAAAGAGCCGAGGTTGCCTACCCTTGCCATAGGCAATTACACTATATATGCCTCCCTAACCATGGGACTTGCTCCTGAGGAAACAGCAAAGGAATGCACTTTTAATTAACTGATGCCGATGAAAGAGGTTTTTTTTTTTTCCTTTGCACAATTTTCTCGCTTTGGATCAGAATAGAACAGAACAAAAGAAGCTCTATAACTTTAGTCTGATTCACACCAGGTCTGCATGAATGGTGAAATGAAATGTTCAAACTTGACTGGCTCTACCTGTGTGATCAGAAATATGCAAAGCTTGGATGATCTAAAAAAAAAAAAAAACCTCAGGGCTGAACTTGTCTAGTATTTGCATAGAAAAGCACCAGATAATTCCAGGATTCTAGTAAAGCCAAGCTAACAATTTTAGAAGAAGGAAATGCAAATTACTCTCAGATAAATCCAGGAGCGTAGGTCCTGGGGCAGATGATGCAATGTTATAAATTGCAATATTTCTGCTGTAGAAATGCCAGGCCTTCCTCAAAGGACCACCAAATTTGTTGGCTTGAAGCTAGCTGGGAATACTGGAAGCATCAACCAGCACATCTGGAGGGCAGATTTGGGGGAAATTATCAATATAATCTCTCTTTCATCGCTACAATGGGAACTAGGTGCCTAAAATACCTGGAGATGAAAATTTTGCAGATATATTCTCTGTAGTGCCTGTGGGTGGGTCAAGAACCAATAGGTGGAAGCTTACAGAGAGAGAGCAAATCTGAAAATGCATAATTTTAAGGCCACGGGAGCCATGAAGCAGTGGAACAACCATACATGCTCCATTACTGGGGATTTTCAAGCAAACGTTGGACAGGTGTTTGATTGGGATGGTCTGATAATTTCCAAGATCCCCATTACGATGTCATGACACAAATCCTGATCTTTCATATGACACACATGTATGCCAGTTCTGTGGTTTATGTCAGAACATTGTGCACAATGCATATGGACAATGCATATTTCATTATCTGTGCCCCCTCTCCCAGAAGGAAGGAAGGAAGGAAGGCTAAACCTTCAGCAAGATGTTTCATAACTATTGCAGCTATCATTTGCTAAAATAGGGCTAAGAGGCACAAAACCTTTGCTCATGTACGACCACTTGGGTTTCTATAGGAAGAGCAGTGATTTTATATTGCAGATTTATGGCCACAACTGAACTCCAAATTTCTGTTGCTAAGTGAGACAATTAAATGGGTTTTGCCTCATTTTACGAGTTTTCTTGCTACAGTTGTTAAGTAAATGCAATTATCATGGCATCCGGCCCTCTCAATTCCTGGCAAATAGATGGGGAAGAAATCAAGATAGTGACAGATTTTATTTTCCTGGGCTCCAAGATCACCTCAGATGGGGACTGCAGCCAAGAAATTAAAAGACGCTTGCTCCTGGGGAGGAAAGCTATGGCAATTCTAGACAGCATACTATAAAGCAGAGACATCACCCTGCCAACAAAAGTGTGTATAGTCAAGGCCATGGTTTTCCCAGTTGCAATGTATGGCTGTGAAAGTTGGACCATAAGAAAGGAATTGGGGCCTTTAAACTATGGTGCTGGAGAAGACTCCTGCGAGTCCCCTGGACTGCAAAGCGATCAGAGCGGTCAGTCCTAGAGGAGATCAATCCTGACTGCTCTTTAGAAGGCCAGATCCTGAAGTTGAAACTCAAATACTTTGGCTGCCTAATGAGAAGGAAGGACTCACTGGAGAAGAGCCTAATGCTGGGAAAGATTGAGGGCAATAGAAGAAGGGGACGACAGAATGAGGTGGTTGGGTGGAGTCACTGAAGCAGTAGGCGTGAGCTTAAATGGACTCCAGAAGATGGTAGAGGACAGGAAGGCCTGGAGGAACGTTGTCCATGGGGTGGCGATGGGTAGGACACAACTTCGCAACAACAACAACAACACAGCTGTTAAATGAATTTGGCTTCCCCATTTACTTTGCTTGTCCGAAGGTCACAAAAGGTGATCACATGATCATGGGAATGCTGCAATGGTTGTAATTGTGAAAATTGGTCATAAGTCACTTTTTTTCAGTGCCATTGTAACTTTGAACAGTTACTAAATGAACTTTTGTTAAGTCAAGGACTACCTGTATCTAGTTTGATGCTTGGAGTAAAACTTTGCAGGAAGCTTTGCTACAATATTTTTTCTTATTAGTGCTCTCGACAATAGAAGCTGCATTTGACTTCTAAGCATATCCTGGGGCTTAAGGCAGTTTTAGCATTGGCAATCTTCTGGATGTGGCCAACAGAACTCCAGTAAAATAAAATGACAGTTTCTGTTAAATTGTTTGGCAAAGATCGGTACGATAAATAGAGATATAGAGAGATTTTAACTATCTCCTCAACCTGGTTTGTATTGCAATGTGCAGATATCCATTCCAAAACTCACACAAAGGTTTGTCTCATTTCCCCAAGCTAAATACATGTTCAGTGTTATCATATGACTTCTGTTAAGGTCAACTGTCTTCTCATCAAGTGATGTGAGAGGTTTGACCTTGTACAAGAAAAGAGACTTGGATGTGGGACAACTTCCCATCAGCTACACACATGACATCAGAAGCTATTAGAGGGTGGCCTCTAAATATGATAAATAGTAGATCTCTTAACATGCTCTACAAGGATTTGCTGAATTTGGGCAGAATCATTGCATAGAATGACAAGGCTGTTGGTTTTATCAGTCACCTATAGTATAGGTCAGGAGTTGAATTCTATTTGAAGGTGCAACTGATTCATATTTTTGACCGTTGCAGTGTCCTGAGGTTATGTGATTATCTTTAACAATCATCTGACAAGCAAACCCAATGGGGAAGCCGGATTCACTTAACAACCGTGTTACTAAATTAACAACTGCAATGATTCACTTAGCAATTGTGACAAGAAAGATTGTAAAATGGGGCAAAATTACCATAACAAATGCCTTGCTTAAGCAACATAAATTTGGGCTCAGTTGTCATAAATCAAGGATTACCTGTGTTGGGAGCGTGGCTCAAGATCTCAAAACAAACTCACTTGGAATTCCAGCAACAAAGTTTTATTTAAAAAGAAGCATTTGCAAAGGCTTGGTGAGCTGAAACACACGTAGGAATGCAGCCACACCTTAAAGAGTTGTTTGACACATTTTTATATCCTACCCCCATGCAGATTCCCCCCTTACCTAATCATCTGATAAACTAACTTGGACCACCTAAAACCACTGTCCCTCCTATGTTCCAGGAAGCCCCTTTGTGCACATCCTATCCATCACCATCTAATTTTCTACTAACAAAGCTCAATTCTTATAATTATCTCTATATCTGTTTGCGGTTGTACCTTTGCTACCTTAAGCTCTAAGCTTTACCTTCAGTTTTTGTGTTTACTTGTGGTTTCAGTTAGCTAGCAACTTTAGCTTTTCATATTTGTATATAGTTAACTTGTTTGAGTTTATGACTTTCGGGTGGCTTCTCCTGCAGACCTTTAGATTCATTAGAAATTTCTGATTAATAATCTATTCCTTTCACCTGTATTGCTTAATCATAACTGTTTCGCATTTGCTAAAACTGTTAGCAAAGCAGGTTCTTCCTCAATCTGCATACTTCTCAGTATGACCTGGAGGGTAATTCAAATATGCAAGTGAGCACACTCCCTTAACTCAAGAGCTTTTAAGTTTGCTTGACTCTTAAACATTTACCAAAACTACTCAGAACTGATTGCATTTCTTACATCGGTATTTCAAAAAGCTTCAGGTTTTTCAAATTGTGCCAATTATTGGTAAGATTCCATTTCTTTCAGTGTTAAAAGTTTGAGAAGTTAACGAAGTACACCTGCTGCAAATACTGACAGCCCGCACTTATGTATTACTATTAAATTATTAAAGCCAGATGAATGATTTGGAAAGAACTAAACCCAACACGATTTGACTTCGGTTGCTGATTTATTTTGCTGGGCTGCTGTAACGCGGAACAAAACTTAGGGACAAAAGCAAACAACTTTTGCACTGTTGCCAGGAGCTGCCCTATAAATCAGCAGTTGAGGTCTACCTGAAGGAGCATGCGCTAATCTGAGAGCTTAACCTCAAGGACTGTAGTTTTGGGCATTAGTTGTCTTTCCGGATTATTGCATAACTTTCCAGTTTTTCTCTCTTCCCTGCCAAAAAAACTACAAGTGGGAGGGGCTTCGTCCTGCCAGAATAGCATCACGTGACGCACGCGATGGCCTGGCTCGCCCGTCCCTCCTCAGGTCTGTTCAGTTTCCTTCCTCTTCGAAGGCGGGACAACCGAACCTGATGGTCGATAGTCTCTGACGCAAAACCTAGAGCGAGCGGGGAATTCTCCAATCAGTGAAGGGAATCAGGGGATGGGGGCGGGACGCCGCCACAGCTTCGCTTGCACGATGGAATGACGAGAGGCTGGGCTGAGTTGGGTTGCACGATCGCCCCGGAGGAAGCGGCCATGGCGGCGGGGCAGCGGCCACTCGCTTCCGCCTGTAGCGGCCGCTCTTTCCGACAGTGAGAGAAAAACGGCCGGGTCTCAGGGACAGGAATGGCGGCGGTCCCGCGGCTGGGGCCGCTGTTCTGGCTGCTGCTGGCCGCGGCCTTCGCTGCCCCCGAGCAAGAAGCCGGCCGCGAGCGAGACTTCCCACCTCACCAGGAGCAGCAGAAGCCGCCGCCGCCGCCGCACCAGCAGCCCGGGCTGCAAGGGCCGGAGCCGCCCCGGGCTGAGGTGAGCTGAGGGAGGCGGAGAGCGGGAGAAGCGGGGGCGACGCTCGGGGGGTCAATTTGATAGGCCGTAGGGCTGGGCTACTATCACCCCCGACGGCCCAGGAGGGGGAAGCTTCGGCCGGCGTCGGGACGGAAGACCCGGCTCCTCCTTGCTGAAAAGGCGGCTTGCGGCTCTTCCACGCCGTCAAGTCTCCGCCGCGGGGCACAACGTGGCCGGGCGGCGGTGAAAGGTGGGATGGGAGAAGTCTTTTGGGATTAGAGTCAGGGACAGGCAACCTGGACTCTTTTATGACTTGTGGACTTCAACTCCCAGAATTCCCGAGCCAGCCATGCTGAGGGGAAAGGGAGAGTTTCCAAGCTGAGCCAGGCTGGCTCAGGAATTCTGGGAGTTGAAGTCCACGAGTCATGAAGGGGCCTAGGCCAGAGGTAGGCAACCTGGGCTCTTTTATGACTCATGGACTTCAACTCCCAGAATTCCTGAGCCAGCCATGCTGAGGGGACAGGGAGAGGTTTCCAAGCTGAGCCATGCTGGCTCAGGAATTCTGGGAGTTGAAGTCCACGAGTCATAAAAGAGCCAAGGTTGCCTACCCCTGGATTAGACAGATTCGATTCATGCACATATATATGTATACATTTGTAGCCTTCAGCTTAGGATCACAACTGAACCCCAAAACCTATGTGGCTAAGCGAGACACTTCTTAAGTGAGCTTTGTCCCATTTTGCGACTTTTCTCGCCATAGTTGTTAAGGCGAATCCCTGCAGTTGTTAAATTGGTGACAGCGGTTGTTAAGTCAGCCTGGTTTCCCCCACTGACGTGGCTGGTCAGAAGGTCGCAAAAGAGGATCACGTGAATCCTGGGACAACTGCAACCGTCATAAATATGAACCAGCTGTCGAGCATCTGAATGTAAATCACATGACCCCCATATGGGGATGCTGCAATGCTGGTAAGTGTGAAAAATGGCCATACGGTAAGTCAAGGACTACCTGTATATGCTTGTTTTTGCTCCACAAGTTACTCTGCCCAGTTCTGTTTTCCCTTTGGTTGCACAGGTAGTCCTTGACTTATAACGGTTTGTTTGGTGACCGTTCGAAGTTACAGCAGCGTCACTGAAAACGACGTGATCGTTTTTCACACAACCGTTGCAGCATCCCCAGGGTCACATGATCAAAATTTGGATGCTTGGCAACAGACTCATATTTATGACGGTTGCAGCGGCTCAGGATCATTGATCCCCTTTTGTGACCTTCCTTAATGAGGAAGCCAGGCTCGTTTTAGAAACTTAACAACTGCAGTGATTAACAATTGTGGCAAGAAAGGTTGTTAAATGGGGCAAAACTCCCTTAACAAATGCCTCACTTAGCAACAGAAATTGTGGGCTCAGTTTGTCATAAGTCGAGTAACTGTAATGGCCACATTTCATTTTCTTAAATGTCTCACCTGATAGAAATCATAGACACTGCAAAGAAGAGAGTCTTGTTGGATCTCGGAAAGGAGAAAAAAATCAGAAATCTGGTAGTGTATCCAACCAACAGCATTTTATTAAAAAGCCTCAGCTTTCCTGAGCTGTAAGTTCACTTTGTTAGCCATGTGCTACATAATTGGATGGTTTTATATACTCATCTGACCAATGTTCTATTGGAGAGCTGCAGACAACAGTAGTATTAGTAATTTATGGTTTATATCTTCCTAAAATTACTGCTTAAAATTGATTTTACACCTTTTCTATTGGAAAAAAGTGATACAGTCTCGCTAGGTAACAGTTACACTATCTACTATGTAACTTACCGCTATTACTTTAAGTTGGTTTGGAAATAGTGATGTTGCCAGATTGCACAATCAAGTTAGCTCACATGTTACAGATCATAGTGACCTTTCATTATGATCTTTTCAAGGTCTTGAAAAGTAACTATATTTTGGTGATTTGATTTAATTGTTGCCATTTGATAATGACAGCTCAAATTGTGTTACAACAGAATGTTTTTTTTCAAGTTACTGTTAGAAAGTCCTGAACCTGCATGATAGTTTCTGAGTGTGAAATGACATTAATTTGTCATTTTATGAATATGCCAGCCTATTAGTTTAATCCAGGGGTCTTCAGACTTGGCCCTTTTATGACTTGTGGACTTCAACTCCCATATATCTAATTGTTTTTCTAAACAGACTATAAGTTTACTGTTATGTATCAACAATTCAGTTGTGCTGAATTAAGCAACTTGCCATAATGCCTACATAGTGTTGATTGTTCAGCAGTTCTTAGAACCCAATTTTGTATTCATAGTCAGAGAGAAAACCTTTCTGTTCATTCATGCATTCTTTAATCAGAGATATCATGAGAAGTTCTAAACCAGTGGTTCTCAACCTTTTTAATGCCGTGACCCCATAATACAGTTCCCCATGTTGTGGTGACCCCCAAGTGGGTGTGGTCACCAATAAGAGGGAGTAGGACAGCTAGGGAAAAGGGAAAAAAATGGCGGACAGCGTGGTTTGGCGACCCCCATGAAATGGTCGTTTGACCCCAAATGGGGTCCCGACCCACAGGTTGAGAACCACTGTTCTAAACTATAAAAAAGTGACTACCCTCATATATCCTTGCTATAAATTGTAAGTTGAGATTTACCATTGCTTAAACAAAAATAACCAATTTAAATTTTAATATTGACTACTAGATAACCTATGACTCCTTGGCCTATCATTTCAGAATATTTCCTTACCAGATGCCTTCAACAGTGGCAGAGCTTGTAATGTAGTTGAAAAGTTCTTAAAAATTAAGAGACATATTCAGAGATGCATCCACCTTAAAAGTAGCCAAATAGAATTGTACAGCACAAACATCAAGAGTTGACTCTAGGAAATATTTTATCACATTTTGTTTTGTCATAAAATACTTTATGATAATTCTTACCTTATAAACTGTTGTATAAAACTTGCCAAATTTCAGTTCCATGGGAGTCAAGGGTCCCAGACACATTCTGTAAATTAGCCCATTTGAGATATCTGGTTGGAAAAGTTTTGCCCTGTAATGGACCCCCCAAAAAAGTACTGATTTTATAGTCCCAGGATAATTTTGTCTTCAAAAATAAAATGTAAATTGAAATTTCATGCACTTTCATCTACAAGCTAGTATTTCATGATACTCCAGATCTTCACCTTTCTGATGGTTGACAAAGAGCAGACAAGGTGAAACATGTTGGATATATTTGTGTGATAAAATCAGCCTTTATTCCTGAACTGCTACAGCACCTGGTTGGAAAGATTTGAAACAAACAAGAACTAGCTTTCTTTGTGGTGTAGCACAATATAACTATGTTTTTAATAAAAGAAAAACACTTAGATTGTACAACTGCTAAAACCTATTTCACTTACTAAAAGTAGAACTTGCAGCTACTTTACTTTTCTTAGAATTCTATTTCTAGAATAGTATTCTAGAAATAGAATGGTCCAGTCTGCCATTGCTCTTTTTGAAGCAGTATCTGGAAAAATGTGGTTGTGGATGGGGGATTTGATTGTGAAGCTTCTTTAAGGAGATGCATTGAATCCCACTTGCTTAGTTCTCTTTATTTAAACAAGTTTATTTTATCAAACTGCTTTTTTGAAACCTTTACTGTCGTTATATTCATTTGTGAAATTTTATATTGATCTTTTATGCATTTGTAAAAATTAATGTTGTGTGTTATGGATGTTAATATTGTATTGTCACAAATCAAGTATTGTCTAGCTGATCATAATATAACAGCTAGAAATGGCCATTTAAGGCATATAAGTCCTGGTCAGTATAATACTGAAATTAAAGTCAATCTTGACATATAGTTCCACCGATGAATTACTCTTACCACTAGGAATTTTGTTTCTTGATTAAGTCCTGTATTTTGAGACAATACATTTTGAAGAAATTCCGTGTGACATATACTCAAGTACCTGAAAACAACTATTGTATTTCTTTCTGTATTTTTTTTTTGTCAGGACTACATATAGTTAATTCTTTCGAATATGCCTTCTAAATAAGGAATATAGTTAGTATGATGAATTAAAGTTAAGTAGAAAATTGTTGGAGTGACTATAATTTATTGTTGAAGAAATGCAGATAAATGACAGTTATGGGCAAAGTGCCATAACAATAAAATGAAAAATAGAATGCCAATGAGTCAACATCTAAAGTTCAGATCATTTGCATATTTTTGTTTCAGCAGGGATAAATAAAAACCTTGATGAGACAGTTTATATTAAATACGAAGGAGAATATGTGATCATGAGATGATCATTTTATATTGTATTAAATTTATATGCTGCCTGACTCTCAGTGACTCTGAGCAGCACACAGGTTTGTGCTTAGAGAAGTCTTAAATACAAAACAACATTGTAAGAAGTACTCTTAAGTTTGCGGTTTCTAAGAGTTGATACCAGCTTGAGGCTTATAATAAACTTTCTAAATTTAAAGGTGGCCATTACTCAGATACCGTATATACTTGCCTATGAGCGCATCCACGGATAAAGTGACCCTCAAATTTTTAAGAATAGTACCATGAAAAAACGTGTAGATATGTACTTTATCTGGGGCTACCCTTAAAAGTGTATTCGGAAGCTGCAAAGTGGGCAGTCCTTGGGCTCCCCATATTTCACTGCTGCTCTGTGAGCTGTATTGGCTGCTGTTTTGCTTCTGGGTGCAATTTGAGATGTTGGTTATTACTTTCAAAGCCCCGTATGGCCTGGAGGAACCGTCTCACCTCATTGGGATTGGCTGACATGCATAACATAACATAATATAAAAGCTTTCCCATATTGTATTTTGACATTCTGCTGAGCTACGGATGTACTTATAAATGAGTGTATACAGAAAATATGGGTACTTTAAGGAAGTATTGTATATACTCTCATATGAGTCCATCCCCATATAAGCTGAACTGGGGGGGGGGCGTTATTTTGGCACTTAAAACTTCTTGGCTTACAAATAAATATGTAAGGTAAGTAAAGAATTTGTAGGGCCCTTTTAGACACTATCCATTTTTCTTATGTTTTGGCATGATAAGGAACTGATTTTCTTAAAACTAGAACGTGGAATGAAGAACATGTTATTTTTTTTTTCAGAAAGGACCTACCCTTGTTGTTCCCGTCCATTCTATTAGTGGAGATTCTTCAGATAAAACTAACCTAGGATTTATCCATGCATTTGTGGCTGCAATTTCTGTCATCATTGTTTCAGAACTGGGCGATAAAACCTTCTTCATTGCTGCTATTATGGCAATGCGTTACAATCGCTTAACAGTGTTGGCTGGTGCAATGCTGGCCTTAGGGCTGATGACGTGTCTATCTGGTTAGTGCTTTGTCTTCTGTGTCCTGGTCTGAAAGTGAAAACAGTGGTATATGTAATATATGTGGGAGAGAATAGGGATATGTGAAACATTTCAGTTGTGAAGATGTCCAGTTTCAACTAGGTTGTTTCGTTTTATCAGAAGTGGCCCGGTGCCATTCTGACATGACGGGGAGCATTGGAACACTTTTGTTTTGAATTTGAAATATTTTGCATTTCTTCAGGGGAGCCCTTCTGACAATAGGAAATCACTAGAGACCACACTTTTTTAGCAACAAAATCTTGAAGATTTTGAGTAGCTATTTGGCTTTTGTTTTTTTATATTAACTTTAATTGTTTTCTTTTTACTTGTACGTCACCTAAAGTCTGTATCATTTGAGCAATCTAAAGATTTTACGCAATAAAAAAAACTACCCTCTCTATGGCCCGTTCATAGAGTTATTGAAAATTAGGATTACTCCAAATATCGTGTGGGAATATTTTGACTAATATAAAGAGCCAAATTTTTTATAATTTTGTGTCAGTTAATTTTTATAAAATGACTTTTTCTTGGAAAAATCTATCTGGATTTCAGCTAGGTAGAAATGTGGGAAATAATACTGTATATTAATGTTATATTACTGCATAATTTAGGCCATAATATTGTATGTAATAATATATTAATGTACATTAATTCCAAGGGATTAATTAATATATAAGAACTGCCTGAATTTAAAACATTGCTTAGATCAGTGTTTCTCAACCTTGACAATTTTAAGGAATGTGGACTTCAACTCCCAGAATTCTGGGAGTTGAAGTCCACATGCCTTAAAATTGTCAAGGTTGAGAAACACTGGCTTAGACAGTAGAAATAAACCATGTCTGCTTCATGGAAAACCTAAACTATTTGCTTTTCTGTTTTTAGTTTTATTTGGTTATGCTACCACTGTAATTCCCAGAATATATACCTACTATGTGTCAACAGCACTCTTTGCAATTTTTGGTATCCGAATGCTTCGAGAAGGCTTGAAGATGAGCGCAGATGAAGGTCAGGAAGAATTAGAGGAAGTACAAGCAGAACTCAAAAAGAAAGATGAAGAAGTAAGTAAAAGTTTATAACAGTGTTTCTCAACTTTGGCAGTTTTAAGGTGTGTGGACTTCAACTCCCAGAATTCCCCAGGCAGCACGCTTGGTTAGAAAGCATTAGGTCAGTGGTGGCGAACCTATGGCACGGGTGCCAGAGGCAGCACTCGGAGCCCTCTCTGTGGCACGCGCGTCATCGCCCCAGTCCTAGGCCTTCAGCTGGGTTTTATAAAACCTTTTCGCTTTAGGCCTCCGCCGCCGTGTGCCAAAAAAAAAAAAAAGGTCCAATCAATCAGTCAATTTCAACTTCTCGCAGGAAAAAAAAAGATCTTGCAAAGTTGGAATTGATTGAACTTTTTAGTCCCACCCAGTCTGCCGTTACTATTTATTTATTTATTTATGAGACTTATATACTGCTTTAAGTGCAAGCACTCTCTAAGCGGTGTACACCAGTAAGCAATGTATATATATATATATTTACATTGCCCCCAACAACCTGGGTCCTCATTTTACCTACCTCGGAAGGATGGAAGGCTGAGTCAACCTTGAGCCGGTGAGATTTGAACCGCTGACCTGCTGAACACAGTCAGCTAAAGTGGCCTGCAGTACTGCACCCTAACTGCTGCGCCACCTACCGCAGCCACGTCCACCCAATGGGCCATGACCACCCAATTGGCCACACCCAGCCCATGGGCCACACCTACCCGGCACTCGATGATGCATAAGTGGGGTTTGGGTTGCAGTTTGGGCACTCAGTCTCTAAAAGGTTCACCATCACTGTATTAGGTTGTTATTTGGTTAGTACTTCTTAAATGATCTTCTTAACAAGTACCTGTTTAATACTTAATGATATTAAGGCTGTGCAAAGATTCAGATTGAAGAAGGAAAGATGATTCAAACGGCACTAATCACTACTACTTCCTTAAAATGAAATGTGTATTGTGCCATGTTGGTCCAGAAAAAGAAACTAATCCCTACCAACATGAAATTCTTTTTTCCTTGCACATTTTGGAATCACTTTTTCTCCCTTGAAGCCAAATTGCTCCATAGGATCACTAAATAAAGGATGGGAAATGAATTAGCAGATACCACTGAGTTACAATCCAAGCACCCCAGGTATCTAGACTAGTGCCAGGAGTTATTGGATCCTGTGGGTAGGTAATTGCAGGAGACCCACATATTCTTCCTCATGAGATTACCTGGATGGATGTCCAAAATTAGCAGTGGATCAGTCTTATTAAGACATCCATTTCTGGACATTTTTTTAGTATTTTTATTGTCAATATATGCCAATCTATGACCATAAGATTTGATATGATATATTATTAGTATAATGTTGTAACAGTTCAGTGTCAGAATTGTTTCCATTTGTGATTATTTCTGAAATCAGAATTGTAGACTAGAATTGCCATTCCATTTTAAAATCAGATTACCCATTCCTTTATATTCTTTGAATATTCTGTTTCCAACCGAGGATTGATTGTAAAGGGAGAAATCTTTACAGCCAGCCAAAAATTTCAGCATGTAACCACAGTTGCAAACCTAGATTAGTTACAGCAACTGTCTGATTCCTGCATTAATCACTCTTGCGATGAAGTATGAATTATTGAATTGGTAGTTTGTACCAATTTACATTGGTACATTTTGTAGATTTACATTGTAAGTCTGACCATTGCTGTGTATCGCTAGTGTTCAATCTTTGGATCTGACTCTAGTTCCTCACGTTTTCTAACAGCTGCTTCTTTTCCTAGCTCCAGAGAATGAAACTCTTAAATGGGCCCGGAGATATGGAAGCGGGTACGGGCCCTGTAATACCTCAAAAGAAATGGCTGCATTTTATTTCTCCAATTTTTGTGCAAGCATTCACTTTAACATTCCTAGCTGAATGGGGTGACCGTTCTCAGTTGACCACCATTGTTCTGGCAGCAAGAGAGGTGAGACAATTGTATACGAAATGTGCGTGATCAAAAGTCACAGAACAAAATGCTCAGGAACTAATTAGTTATAGATAGACTGATTTGTTGTTGTTAGTTGCGAAGTCGTATCCGACCCATCGCGATCCCATGGACAACATTCCTCCAGGCCTTCCTGTCCTCTACCATCTTCTGGAGTCCATTGAAGCTCACGCCTGCTGCTTCAGTGACTCCATCCAGCCACCTATTGGTACTGTCCATGGGGTTTTCATGGCAAAGATACTGGAGTGGGTTGCCATTTCCTTCTCCAGTGGATCACATTTTGTCAGAACTCTCTGCTATGACCTGTCCATCTTGGGTGGCCCTGCACGGCATAGCTCATAGCTTCATTGAGTTACGCAAGCCCCTTCACTACGACAAGGCAGTAATCCATGAAGGAGAGATAGATTGATATTTGAGCCTTAAGCAGGATAGCAAATCATTTTCCCTTGGGATCTGTCCATTTTAAAAGGCATAGTTATGACGCATGCTCCATGGAATGCACTCAATAGAGTTGGCGTATCGGAGAAAGGACGTTCTCTTGCCTCTGTCTGGGCAGAGAAGCGATGGGACCTGCAGTTATGAGACTGCTTTAGAGACCCATGTGGTTTTGATTTAATATTATGTATGTCAAATTGTTGCTTCCATGGAAGTTGCCATGCACAGCATGGTGATGAGGAGTCAGGCCTAGGAGCAACTATCGTTCATTTACATAGTAACCTCTGAAGATCTGGAAGTACATGTCCTGCTATGTAATTAGTCGAGTTTTTTGGTTTAACATTCACACATTTTTAATTCATTGCACTTTTATTCTGCCCAATTGGTTAAGTCGGACATGTCAAACTTGCGACGTCACGTGACATCGCGCAACGTACCGGGACGGTTTTGCCATCGCCGGCAATGGGGTGGGCGTGGCTTCCAGATGACGTGTCTGGCCTGTGGGCCGGCAGTTTGACACCCCTGGGTTAAGTTATATTAGTGCTGAGGTGAGCATTTAAATTGAGTAGCATTTTTTTTTTAATTAAAAGTTTTAAAAAGTTTACACAATATATATCCCAAATCCCTCCCACCCACCCCCCCTACTTCCCAAAGCTGATTACAGGGTTAAAAATAAACAATCATAATCTAACTAACATTACCCAACTGTATTAACAATCAAATCCATAACATACTTTAACTCCTTTTCAAGATAAATATTAACAAATTAAAAACAAAAATAATAATATAATTAAACCATAATGCTAAAAATAATATATTAAACTATCAATGGTAATCTAAAATTTACTCATAAGCTAAATAATAGCATTTTTTGTTTCTAGTTTTCTCACTTTTTAAAGTGATTGTGGTACTTTAGGTTATCCCAGGAATGACATTCTAGCACAGTGGTTCTCAACCTGTGGGTCGGGACCCCATTTGGGGTCGAACGACCATTTCACGGGGGTCGCCAAACAAGGCTGTCCGCCATTTTTTCCCCCTTTTCTTTGGCCACGCCCCTGGCACCCGGTGATGTATAAGTGGTTGGGGGTCACCACAACATGAGCAACTGTATTATGGGGTCGCGGCATTAGAAAGGTTGAGAACCACTGCTCTAGCAAATTCCCTGTGGTCATTAACTAAGGCTGGACGTGGCTGACAGCATTCTCTGTGTGTTTTTTTATCCGTTTGCGGCCTTTGAAAGTATCAGCGGACCCTTTGTAAGCAGCTGCAGTAAAAAAAAAATCTGTGGCTTTTCAAATAGCACCGAAACTTTTATCTGTTTTTTTCCCCCACAGAACCCCTACGGTGTGGCAGTGGGTGGAACAGTTGGTCATAGTTTGTGTACTGGCTTAGCAGTGATTGGAGGAAGAATGATAGCACAAAAAATCTCCGTTCGAACTGGTAAGTTCTTGGCAGGAAAAGAAAACCATCTACTTGCAAAGCGAAAGGGGAAATGAGATGTTTTCTAACCAGGGTTAAAAAGCCAGTTTGGTCTAGTGCAGGGGTAGGCCACCTTGGCTCTTTTATGACTCGTGGACTTCAACTCCCAGAATTCCTGAGCCAGCTAAGCTGAGGGGAAAGGGAGAGGTTTCCAAGCTGAGCCATGCTGGCTCAGGAATTCTGGGAGTTGAAGTCCACGAGTCATAAAGCGGCCTAGGCCTAGGCCAGAGGTAGGGAACCCTGGCTCTTTTATCACTCGTGGACTTCAACTCCCAGAATTCCTGAGCCAGCCACGCTGAGGGGAAAGGGAGAGATTTTCATGCTGAGCCATGCTGGCTCAGGAATTGTGAGAGTTGAAGTCCATGAGTCATAAAAGAGCCAAGGTTGCCTACCCTTGCTCTAATGATTAAGGCGCCTGTCTAGAAGGCAGGAGAGTATGTGAGCCCTAATCCCACCTTGGGCGTGAAAGTCATCTGGATGACTTTGGGCCAGTCACTCTCAGCTTAACTAGCCTCACAGGCTTCTTGTGGGGGAAATGGGAGGCAGGAGTGTTGGGATATGAGTTTATTTATAAAATTAATAAAAGGGACCGCCTTGAAGCATTTTAAACTAAATGATAGAATTAATATCACTAGCAATTCTGGTCCTGTCTTTAACTGTCTTAAACACCTGCTCACATGCTTCAGTTTAGGCATGCCCAAAGCGACCAGTGCATTAAAACAGAGCCACATCTTACTGTTTGCTTTTGGTTAGTGGATAATTGGTTTAATAAAAGTGAAATTGGTCAAATCTGTCCATTTACTATATTCTTTTTAAGTTCATGCTCGTTATTTAGAATGGGCGTTCCTTAGAGCAGTGGTTCTCAACCTTTTTAATGCCACGACCCTCAACCGGTCGTAAGTCGAGGACTACTCAACTGGTGCAGCACCATTTGCAGAATGGGACTTTTGGCGGGCTCAGCAGGGCAGAGACAGCCTGGACAATTCCTATTGGCTTTCAAAAGCCAATAGAATAAAAGGGAGTACCACAGCTAAGGAAAAGGAGGAAAAAAATGGCGGACTGCGTTGTTTGGCGACCCCCGTGAAATGGTCGTTCGACCCCAAATGGGGTCCCGACCCACAGGTTGAGAACCACTGTTTTAGAGGGAGAGGAGAATTGTCTTTAATCCACTGCCAGTCAGCGTGAACAGGCCTGAGCAAATACTAACCCATAATCGGTCATGAAACTCCCAGTACAGTAATGGCCAAAATTGTGGAAACCTTTTGGGAAAAGTGTACTTTTGAGATTTGATGGCTAATAACACCACTTTTTTTGGGGGGGAGTAGTACCATAAAATTATATATCAACGGAAAGATAATTTAATCAAGAATGTAATGCAACATAGTTTGTTCAATCATCTGTGCTGTATTCTATGAAAAGTTATAGCCAAATAACCAGAAAAAGGAAGCACAACTTGCTTAGGTTGATTATCAGGGAGCTTTCCTTCATCTGATTGTAGTCAATGAGCATGAGTATTTAGAGAGCCAATCAGGTGTCCTCTTGTTTTGCCAATGAGCCAATCAGGTCACAGTAGGTTTCAGTGATTGATGTCCTGTATTAAAGCTGAGAGGAGGACATTGGTCAGTGTGTTATGTGATCGCTGTCAAGTTGGTTGGGGTTTTTTGTGTCCTTTCATTTAGTGAGCTTGTAAAACGTAATAAAATCAAAGTAATGGTGCAAAGAGTTGACTGGTTGCCCAGGAAGCAATGTAAAATAGTATTATTAAGTGAATAAGGCTACCGTTATAAAGAAATTAGAAGAAAAATTGGTGGAAACTTAACCAAAGGTGGCATTTCTACTGTACACTTTCCCCAAAAGGTTTCCACAATTTTGGCCTCTACTGTACTGTCTGATTTTCCAGTTGGTTCAAAATCAGTTTTCAAATTTCATTTTAACCATTTGCTGAGAATAGTTTATCATTTAGTCTTTCCTGGCAAGAGCAGGCAAAAATGTGCTTTTTTTTTCATTTATTAATTGGTTGAAGTTATATAACCAGCCGTCTCACATACATGACTGTGGGTGGCTTATAGGATTAAAACACACACACCACACACACACACACACACACACACACACACACACACACGGAAAAATAACCAAAATCATAACAAAAGGCAAAACTTTAAAACCATAGAAACAATTAAAACATAAAAAACATAAAGGAAAAAAGTACATGTTTCGTATGAAAGTCATCCAAAGAGATGAGGTCTTTTGTGGTTCAAATTTTGCTGAATTGCACAAAGTCATTTGATGTGGATTATTTCTTACAGTATATAAACACTAACTAAGCTTGCTATTTGTAACTTCTTGACTCTGACCATGTTGCAAATATATAGGATGAGTATCTTCATTGATTAGATGCCAGTGAGAAGTAGAAGCATGAAAGTAAATTCATGAATACAAAATAAGCCTTGTGAAATTTTGTCTTTTATATAGGTTCTAACCACATGATCATTTCCCCCCCCTTTTTTTTTTCTTTTACAGTGACAATCATAGGAGGCATTGTTTTCTTAGCATTTGCGTTCTCTGCATTATTTATAAGCCCAGATGTTGGATTTTAGCAGGAGTATTTTTTTTTCCTTTTCCTTGAAATACAAGAATTGGAATCATTTGGCTTCCTGTATATAATGTACAGCTACTTATTCAAACAAGCACTGAAGGTGGGATGCTGTAATTTTTATAGTAACAATTAGTTTGGTATGTTTTGTAGATACAGTCTCTGCTGGACAATAACATGATCTATATATTTGGGATATGAATAATGTACATTTTATTTTAGTTATTTTGCTGGCAGATGTCCAAAAAACACTGCTTGACAGCCCCCTTTGATTTTATTTCTCAAGTACATGGTTCCACAATCAGAAATGAAGAGCTATGCCAACAATTAAGTCATCTACTCAAGACTGTGGACTTGTGGAAAAATCAGGATACTTTGATAGAGAACGTGCTAATTCAGAAACGGTCTCAAAATACACAATCCATCTAGATATTTACAGATCAATTTTTGTATTTTACTGAACATTTGATGCCTTTTCAGATTAAAATATTCTTAAAAGCGATCATTGTTTTCTTTTTAGTAAATATAATAATATGGGAGAGCGTGGATAACAACTAGGCGTCTCCTATTATAGAATTGCAATTAAAATGAGTTCTGGTTTCATTCAGAGGAAAATAATGTGTATTGTCCAATATTTTATATTTTTAGTGGTTGTACCCATTTCTTGTTACTCCAGTACCTTCGATGGACAAATATTTCATGATTGCTGTTTTTTTTTTAATTTTGAGTCATGCTGCTTGTCAGTTATTGAAAACAATAATTTGACATTGATTCAGTTCACATGCATTGTTCTAAGCCGGGGGGGGGGGTAGGCAACCTTGGCTCTTTTATGACTCGTGGACTTCAACTCCCAGAATTCCTGAGCCAGTATGGCTGGCTCAAGAATTCTGGGAGTTGAAGTCCATGAGTCATAAAAGAGCCAAGGTTGCCTACCTCTGTTCTAAGCTGTGCCATGATTTTGCTTTAGAACCGTGTGTGGACTCAGCCATTTGGTACATAAGCTCTGGTCTTTTAACTTGGTGTTTTGCAAACCCAGTTTGATGTAATATTTAACAAATTGTTGGCTTAATGCAAATAGTGGATCTAGCCATAGTATCTCAGACATCAAGTTATGCTGCTAAATGTGTTTTACATAAAGTATGGCATTGCAGCAATATGAGGCAACCCCTTTCCAAATTAAAGTTTTATTCCTAGTCAAACTAATACTGCAATATGAAGGCTGAGATAAGTTTGATCAAGTGGGAGAGTTCCAAACTATCTCTCCTTTTTTGCCCTATGATGTTGGTTTTTTTTTTTAACCATGATCTAGAAGCCATCCAAAAGAACCTGGGGTCCAAAGCATTTCCCATGTTCATATTATGCGCCTGGTCTAGGAGAGAATTTAGATCAAGCTATTTGCTGGTCTGAACCAATATCTTCCCATTTCTTGGAATGAAATTAGATTCTTGAAAATAGCGAGTTCAGTTAATGCTATTCATATTTGTGGGTCTCTCAGCAGGATTTTGGATTTGCCAATTGCTATCACTGAGCTATATAGTTGTCCGTTTTGTAGCCAAAAAGGAAAAAAAAAAAAAAAGAATCCAGTTTGTAAAAGATGGGTATCAAGCTGGAAAGATTGCTTTAAAATAAACGCTTTTGTAAAGACGTTCTTTTTTACTGCTTTTATTTTTTTATCTTTCCCAAGTATGAGATTCTTGTAGTGAGGCTTAATGTGCACAGGTATAATTTGTGGATGATTCTGAAAAGGGGTTCACCTTCATGTAATAATAAGCTGAATTTTCACTGTTTTCCAGTATAGGTGCTATTCCTGAAAGAGAGGAAAAAACCCACTGTTTTTTCAGGAGTTTAATCTTTTTTTTTTATTGTCATTATACTGAGACTTTAAAAGCATTCTTCTATCTAATGGCCTTTCCTACTGTGGAAACATGCCTCGTGCAGTGTATTTGCTTCGGCATCTGTATATCATTATTTTTAGATCATCCCTTCCACGGGCTCTTCAGTCTTTTGCCCTTTAAGCTGACAGCATCTAGCGGAGTTGCAAAGTGTGTAAAACCTGAGTCCCACTCCACTGAGATTATAGTCAGATGACCTGCATGGAATGAAATCAAGCGCTCCCACTGCCTTGGGACAGTGAAGCCTACAGTCACTGAAATCAAAGGGGAGGAAAAGTACTAGCTGAGACTCCTTTAGTGACTACCTGGTGCTTTTTTTGCTGGTGGTTAACAGCGTGGTGCCATAAACAGGCTGCTCAACACCTGATACATGTGGGCAGATTGCGTGCTTTTCTTGTTCCTTCACAGGGGACACGTTTTCATGCTCCGCTTTGGTCTCGGCCCTTATTCTTGTCATTCCCTTCTAAAGTCACTACTGCGGATCTTCCTTCCCGCACAATATAATCATTGTGCACTTACCTAGTTGCAGAAAAAGCTACTTTCTGACTCCTTTCTCAGGACAGCTCAGCAAATGGACCAATGTTAAAAATTAAAAGTATACAGTACAGTTATCAATCAGGCTATGGGAGAATTTTTTTTTTTTAAAAATGGAACTGTATCATTGCAGCGTCATGCACATATTCTTACACGGTTGAAAGAGAATAATTTAAGCAAATACGAGGGCAATTCGGAAATAGACCTCTGTTTGGTTATCAATGACAGACACTCGCAGATACAGAACTTTTATTATACACATTAGAAAACTACAACATCACATTAGGTGGTACCTTGCTCAATAGTAGCAACTGTGAGAGGGATCTCAGAGTCCTGGTGGACAATCACTTAAATATGAGCCAGCCATGTGCTGTAGCTGCTAAAAAAGCCAACACAGTGCTGGGCTGCATTAACAGAGGGATAGAATGAAGAACACGTGAAGTGTTAATACTACTTTACAATGCCTTGGTAAGGCCCCACTTGGAATACTGCATCCAATTTTGGTCACCACGATATAAAAAAAGATGTTGAGACTGTAGAAACTAGAGTACAGAGAAGAGCAACAAAGATGATTAGGGGACTGGAGGCTAAAATATATAAGGAACAGTTGCTGGAATTGGGTATGTCTAGTTTAATGAAGAGAAGGACGAGGGGGGACATGGTAGTAGTGTTCCAGTATCTCAGGGGCTGCCCCAAAGAAGAGGGAGTCAAGCTATTCTCCAAAGCACCTGAAGACAGGACATTGATTGTTGGCAACCGGTATTTGTTAGATGGGTGACTATAATGAGAATTTACAGAAAATAGGTTTCCTTGTAGATCAGTGGTTCTCAACCTTTTTAATGCCGCGACCCCCCCCCCCCAACCGGTCGTAAGTCGAGGACTACTCAACCAGTCGTAAGTCGAGGACTACTCAATTGGTGCAGCACCGTTTGCAGAATGGGACTTTTGGCGGGCTCAGCAGGGCAGAGACAACCTGGACAATTCCTATTGGCTTTTGAAAGCCAATAGAATTAGACTCTATTCAAAGAGTCTATTCTATTGGCTTTCAAAAGCCAATAGAATAAAAGGGAGTAGCACAGCTAAGGAAAAGGGGGAAAAAATGGCGGACTGCGTTGTTTGGCGACCCCCGTGAAATGGTCATTCGACCCCAAATGGGGTCCCGACCCACAGGTTGAGAACCACTGTTGTAGATAGATTCATGCCTTCTAAAAAAAACCATGGCACATAGATTTATTTTCAAAGTATGAGTCTCATTCTACTATTGGCTCCATGACCTCACATTATTTTAACGGGCATGTCCAATGAAAATGGCAGTAAAGAAAAGCTCTTTTTAGAGATCAGTATGTTGTTTTCATGAATTAGAAAATCTCTTAGACTTCTTTCACGTGAAAACCTCTAAATGCACCGCTGTTATGTTGTGAACTTTCTTTAGTATACTGTATCTCACAAATAAGGATGTGGGGATGGCCAGTGGGATATGTATAGAATTAAAGGATAAATATTTGGCACACACCCACACACACCCCAAAGTTACTTATCAATGGGAAAGCTTTGAATAAATTTAAATTTCTGTGACCTGTAGTGTTAGAACACGCTTCTAGTATTCTAGTAATATGGTAGTTTTTGAGGTGAGTGGGGGAAAAAAAAACCATGATATGACAAAGATAGAATGATTCAGCATAGAATCATAGAGTTGAAAGGGACCTTGAAGATCTCCTTGCCCAACCCCCTGCCCAAAGCAGGAGACCTTATTGCATCTTTTCTTGAAGATCTCTGGTTGATGGACCACCCACAATTCTGGTAACCAATCCTGTTCCATTGATTAATTGTTCTCACTGTCCGGAAATTTCTCCTTAGTTCCAGATTGGATCTCTCTTTAATAAGCTTCCACCCATTCTGTCCTGCCCTCAGGTGCTTTGGAGATTAAGTTGATCCCCTCATGATTCCCCCTCAAGTACTGGAAAATAGCTATCCTATCCCCCCCTCAGCCTTCTCTTTGACAGGGTAGATATACCGTATATTCCGGCGTATAAGACGACTTTTGAGAGCGTTGAAACAGGCGCCGAACTCGGGGGGGGGTCGTCTTATACCCAACTCGTCTTATACGCTGGAAATAATGGTAGTTTCCAGCGAATAAGACGACTTTCTAGGCATGCGACTCGGCGTTGAAGTCGGGGGTCGTCTTATACGCCGGGTCGCCCTATATGCCAGAATATACGGTACCTAGTTTCTTTAAGCATTCCTCATATGATTTAGTGTCTAGTCCTCTTACCATCTTTGTTGGTCTTCTCTGCAGTCTTTGTCATTTTGTGGTGACTAGAATTGGACCCTGTATTCCAAGGGTGCCTCACTAGTACAGTACAGAGCGGTACTATCACTTCCCATAATCTTGATGCTAAGCTTCCATTGATGCAGCCCAGGGCTGCAATGGCTCAAACTTAAGTACCATAGTGGTGATCCAGCTGGACACCTCGATCCCTCTCACGGTTGCTACTGTTGAACCAGGTTCCCGCCTATTCTGTAATTGTGCATTTGATTTTTCCTAATCCTAACAATACTTGAGACTTGTTTAAGTATTATTAAAGTAAATTCCTGAAGTATTACGATTTTATTAACTGGGTCTTCAAACATTCAATTATAGTTTTTTAAAAAAAAACCAAAATCCTATCTGTGAAATTTTATTGGACATGATTTTTATTCAATGCAGGAAAGAAATCACACAGACTTGCAATCCTATGGCCATTGAAGCAGCACAGACTCAATAGACCAGTATTTTGTTTCCCCCATCAAAGTCAATAGGGAGAGCTGTAGAGACTCTTGAAGGATTCAAAATCTAGGTCAGTTCTGATCCTGGGACCTTCAAGAGAGTTATGTGGCAATTCTCCTCAGCTTTTCTAGTTTTGCCTGTCATCCTTGAAACTAAAAACTAATCGGCAGCTAGCCTAATTATTTTTCTTCCTACCACTCACCGTGGATTTAAAATTTTGTCAGAAGCATGAGCATTGAAAAAGAATAGTGAATGTTGTTCCTTTTCCACCTGTCTACAAATGTCAGGGGCTCCTGTTCAGTGTTGGTGAGAGACAGGTATCTAAAGCTGGAGACAGCTCTATTTTCCTAGATCAGTGTTTCTCAACCTGAGCAACTTTAAGACATATGGACTTAAAAGTTGGCTGGAGAATTTTGGGAGTTGAAGTCCATACATCTTAAAGTTGCCCAGGTTGAAAAACATTGTCCTAGACCAGGGGTAGGCAACCTTGGCTCTTTTATGACTTGTGGACTTCAATACCCAGAATTCCTGAGCCAGCCATGCTGACTCAGGAATTTTGGCAGTTGAAGTCCACAAGTCATAAAAGAGCCAAGGTTGCCTACCCTTGGACCTAGATCATTGGCAGGATCGCTGTAATGCAAAAAGAGCCATAACTAGCATCAGCCAAATCCTGGGTGCCGCTTGTATTTGCAATTTTTCATTTCTCTCCACCCCACTCGATTCTTTCTCACTGATGTTATTGTTGTTGAAGAAAAGCAACAGTATGGATACCAAGTCAGCAAGAAGTATTCAAGCCGGAAACATCATCAAAACCTTGATGCTACAAGCAGAAATTTCAAATGTTATGTTTATTCAGTTAAAAACTGACACTTAGTAATGATCACGTGAACACTAAGGATTCATATCTACAGTTCCTGATGTCAGATCATGAAAATCACACAGGTTTCCTACATATACAAATCTAATGCCAAATTTTAAAAATGCAAAACCAAGACAATGTGAAATCAACACTGAAAAGTATCCAATTAGACAATTTAAAAAATAAATACTTTTAAGAATAAAAAACACTTTCAAAGCAGCTGTATCTTTTAAGAGCATACCCCCCACCCCACCCCAAAGTCTTCCACTGATTTTGATTGTCTACTAGTGCAGCACCTCAGTTAGAGCTGGGATCTGTATATCAGGCAACACAGTATTTTGTTCATACACAGTGTTTCGTTTTGCTTTTGTTTGTGTGTTACTGGCAGGTACAACATCTTTTAAGCAATACGACCTATCATGCTGCTGCTGGCCATACCCATGCAGATGAGAAAGCATGAAGCGTAGCAACATAGACTGTAAAGTATTTGTTTATTAAAGACAGAGGAATGTAGTGTTAAAAATGTATCAATAAACTACTCGGTTTCATAAACAACCAAATTATGGGTTTTTTTTTAAAATGTCTCTCAAAGCTTGTCTCACTCACTGACTGGTCAACATTCAACTTCGAACAAGTGTATACATTTGAAAACATCTCCAATTTTCTTTAACTTGGGGGGATAGGGAAGAAGAAACTGCGTCCTCTCTTCCACATCACTTCGGCTCCCTCTAGGCCAGTGTTTCTTAACCTTGACAATTTTAAGGCATGTGGACTTCAACTCCCAGAATTCCACAGCCAGCATTGCTGGCTGTGGAATTCTGGGAGTTGAAGTCCACATGCCTTAAAATTGTCAAGGTTGAGAAACACTGCTCTAGGCCTCCTTGTCTTATCACATACATATCTCAACTACACATTTCCGACAATCGATTTATGACTTTGACGTGCATGCTGACATCACATGACTCAGTAACATTTAAAAAAAAAAAAAAACCCACACACATACCTACACACGTACACAACAAAAATGGGTGTTCACTAAAAATACAAACTATACTTGTGACTGAAGCAGTCTACTAAAGGCCACATCTGTAAACCCTCTACACTTTTAATCCTAAGGACCACTTAGAATTACACGAAAGCCCCCCGTTGATAATTCTCTGGCAATTGTGCAACATTTATTTTTTTAAAAAAAATCAGTTCTGAAAAAAGCTTAGGTATTTTATCTACTGTATATCCATATAAAGCCAACCAATACTACATGTCGCGTATTTAGACTTAAGCCTAAATGTTAAGAAACATTTTCCAGCAATGCCTCTTTTTGACAATAGTCTACATTCCGACCCCACCCCTTTTTTCTGTGAACAGTCCCGTTGCCTAAATAAACTGTATTTCAAAATGTGACACCCCCCCCAATAAAGTGCTTATGTTTGCGCACATTTTAGGCTACCTAATTCAATATCATACTCAAGTATTACAGGAGAGTGATCACCACTTGCAGAAACAAAGAGTTTCAGAGAAAAAGCAAATTTTGACTTGCCAATCTACCCAGGTGCATCACCATAAGGTGTCTATTTTAGGTGCTGGTCTCTTGGCAAGACTCTTTCCACTTAAAAATATTTTATTATTTCATATCCCACCCTAGGTGTGGCTACTCCATCGCTTCATAATCCCAGTTACTTGAGCCACAGTGGTTAACGGGATTACGTTTTCAACAGATCCTTAAGCAACTAACACAGTTTTAACTGACAGCTTTGGACTTGTGTGGATGTTCAGTCATTTTTATCCTGATCAGCTGGCAGAAGGCAGGAAGCCTACAGATTGTGACAGACTGGAATAATTCATTGCACCAGCAAGTAAACTTCTACATAAAAATAATGGAAGGCATATGGAGAGCTCTGACTATATTCTCTTAATATGTGTAGAAATATAGTATATATGTATGTATATATATATTAAATATAATATCAAAAATATTTATACGATTCCCTCTAGAATTCCCAGAAGCTCACCGTGGAGTCTTCCTTCCCCTCCCACCCCCACAAACACAAACAAACCTAAACTACCCTTCTCCTTTTTCAGCAGCACTTTCGTCAGGCTTCCTGCCGCTGGCTCAACTGTTGCTTCAGCACAGTGGTTGGCCTCTTGCCACTCCCAGGATCTCATCTGAAACCTCCCAGCACCCTGCAATTGCACGGCTGAAATTCGACGGCAAATGTGTCTGGGTTTTGCCAAAACAAGTTTTCCTTTCTTTTCCTCTTTTTTTTCCCCCAAAAAGAAATGAGAGTGGGAATGGAAGCAAAACGTTCCCGTTCCTATTCTTCGCACTCCCCAACCCCCCTGAAAAGTGGGCCAAAATTGCACTGCCGGAAACTGGCCGCAAAATTGAACGCCTTTTGGCACGGTCTCAAAGAGTTTGAGCGTGGGAATCGGGGTGGGCCTGCCTCCTAGGGGGTCTCCTGTTCCCCCGTCCCACTCAAACACGCCCCTCTCCAAAGGCCCACACGTTTCTCCAAGTTGGCGGGAGGGCTCCTGCAGCTCTCCAGAGGCCAGGAAGCTGCACTGTGATCCCTGACTCTATCCAGGTTGCCCACCCCTGCTCTAGGTTAAGTGCAATACCCACAATACGAATCCCCAACTCTCCGTGGGCCCCCTCCATTACCCCTGCCTCCCCCAGCAGAGACATTTGGCCATACTAAATTACAGAGGGCGGAATACTCAGCACTTACAAATGATTTCTGAGATTAAAAATTAGCCTTGAGAAACATCAGAACTATCATTAAGAGCAAAAGCTGAATCTTCTTGCTATTTAGGGCACACTGACGCTCCACAGAAGCAAAAGATCTTCAGACAAAAATCTTGTCAGCTAGAAAATAAAACATAAATGCCCACATACCTTCTAGAAAATATTTTTGTTTCATTGAAGTATGCCTGGAGTGCTGTAGACAAAAAAAAATTCTTTAGTAATTTTTTTTTTTACTTTCTTACGACTTCTTTTGTCCGCTTACCTTTTGTATAACCTCCCCAAATACGTGCCACATCTACTGATAGTTGTGTTCTTTCTCAATAAAAGTGGCAAAGAAAATCTATATCAAATAAACAGCTCATGACTGCTGCTCTCCACTAAAGCCCTGATCTATAAAGCAATTCCAAAGCCCTCCAAATTTTCTTATTTAATGCTATAATATTCTAAATAGCTTCAAGCCCAAAATAGACAATCATTTACTACATGCAAAGATGTTCGTTCAACACAGCCAGGCCTGGCATTATAACAAACAAGTTACAGTAGAACAGAGTTATTTGCCATTAAATTCACAGAACTGTTTCCACGTATGTAGGTAATAGTGCTACGTAGTTTCCTAAGTAAACTTCCTACTGGTTTCCAGTATTTGCCAAGAGAGAAAAGGGTTAATCCAATTCTTTGGTTCTTTGATTCTTTAAAAATAAATCTTAAAAATGTGATTATGGTACGAGCTATTAAACTGTTGAGTAATGCATGTGGGGGGGGGGGCGGGGATTGGAACCATGTAAGGCTAAAGCAATGAAAAGAACTTGAAGGAGCCATTCACGTATCGCATTAAACCATCTGCCTGGCTTAGTAACAGACATGTTCAAGCATATCCACTGGTGCAGTCACCCAGCCTAGCATGTGTTGCCCAGAAAAACCAAGAAATAAAGCCAGGAATGGCATTTAAACAAAATTATGGCTTCATTCTCTGATTTCCTCAAGACAGATGAAAGCAGAATCTTACATTGAAATGTTACTCTCAGTTTATCTACCACTTAGAACAGGGGTTCTCAACCTTGGCAATTTTAAGACTTGTGGACTTCAACTCCCAGAATTCCTCAGCCAGCTTTGCTGGCTGAGGAATTCTGGGAGTTGAAATCCACAAGTCTTAAAGTTGCCAAGGTTGAGAACCCCTGACTTAGAAAGTGGTCAGTAGATTACATGGGCACATTTACAACTAAGATAAGCTGACAGTTTGCATGGTACCTGAATAGCATCCAAATTAACCATAGGATAACATTTGGTATTTTCTACCAAGATGTTGCTTTGTCCAACCAGCACTACATTCTTTGCGCCTTTCACTATAACTTTGGTTACATTAATAAAGCTCCTCTTTATTATCCAATCTTTCTTGACTCAGACATTCCAATATTTTTTTTTCCTTTTAGATACCCAATTTCAAACTTATTTTGCTCTGCAGATGTGGATTTTAAAACTAGTACCATAAAATATATTAAACATTTTTTTTAAATCTGTACAGAATTTCAGTTGGATCTTTTTATTATCTTTATGATGTGAATTTGTCATCTGAAGTCCCAATACAATGTTATCTTTTTATATCTTATTTATGTAGTCTGTCTCATTCCAGATAACTCAATTTAAACTGCTTTACAAGTCAGTTCTATTGTTACTCACATACATGTTTTGGCATAAATTTAGAAAACGTGAGATGCAACATTTCAAATTGTGAAATGAGAGTAATTACACCGCAGCTACCCCTTACTGAACGGTTGAGAAGGAGAGCGCAGCGTTTTAAAAACGTTGCAATTCTCAATTTGTACAGTTTTTAAAATACCTATATGTACAATAGAGACTTAGCTAGGAAGCATGTTTTGTCAGTGAACTAAAATTGATGGTCATAAATTCAAGATAATGTAATTCAGTATGTTTAGCACTATTACCTGAATCAAAATCAAGGCACTGTGGAGGTTTTATTATTAGTTCTGCTTCAAATGACCCTGAATCATCTCTGATTAAATGAAGGTTAACATTTTACAGGAGAATAAAAAGATTCCAACCAATTCCGAAAACACATTTCCCACTGCAGAGAAGTTAAAAAGTGCCTACAATTATTAAATTTAAATATATTTTGTGCAAATTACTCCTATAGTGGAGTCATTTGTGAAAATTATGCTCATATTTTAAACCGTATGTTTTACATAAATATTTGCAACTATGTATTATATCAAAAGTCAGCTTTGGGGAATCAAAATTCCAAACCATCAAAAACAGAGCAGTGCAAATTCCTATTTTTTTCAAAGAAAAAAATATTCATGAAATGATACATGACAAATGGGATTTATGAAATTGAATGCCTTGAACCCCCACAGTTCAAAGAGTTTCATCAATAATTTAACTTGCAAAAATTCCACAAACCAGAACACACTATCACCTCATGGAACAAACTGGACGTTACAGATAAACTACAAACAGGAGATTGTGCCCACATTACAGATGAGAAGAAATGATCATGCAGATTACAGATTCCACAATGGAGAAGACAAACAGGTATAAACCGATGAAAACAGTAGTTTGAACATTGGTGAAATTTTGGGGAAAAAAATTCAAACCAAGTTCCATGCATCATATAAAATATCCTGCTCTCTTGCTTTTTTTTTTAACCAGACATATACACAGTATTTTACAGTATCTGTACAATGAAGATAGATTCCATTCAATATTTTGAAAATATTTACTGTCCTGTAATATGAAAAAAATTAACTTTGCTTTGTAGCATAATTGCAGGCATACTTAAAATAGCTGTAGCAACAGCATGTCCATCGTAACACTTAATCTGAGCAAACTTAATTGTAAGTATCTTGTTTAGTCCACTGAACATTTTGACTTTGATCTGGACAAATTAACTCACGGCCTTTGAAGAAAAGCCAAACATAGAAACCAGAGCAATTAAATTCCTGGCAAAAGTCAGCATGTCCCTGTCCCATCATCTTTGCCAGCTTTACGCCTACTGAAACTCCAACAGCGCTTCATACCATTTTCTTCAGCAGATACATTCCAACGGTTAAAAGAATTTCAATACTGTGCATTGCAAAAATCTGTCGACTCCGATCTCACCGTCTCCAATGCAATTACACACCGAGCAGTTCTCCTGCCAGCCTCGCTCCCAGTAACAAAGCCCCACACTATTGGGGTGGCACTTTAGACGCCTCCGTCACGCTGTCAGCTCTGTGTCGTGGCATTTGCGGTGGCTGTGACTGAGATGGATGCTGCTGGTGATGGGACTGGGCAAAAGTTCTTTGTTGCAGTGGGAAAGCAGCAGAGAGAATAAGTTGCGTCGACTGATTTCCATGAAGTAACCTGGAGGTCTGCAAATATACAAAGGAGAGGGGGTCAAGCGTCTCCGCTGTCATAACCTAAGCATGTTACCTAACAACATCAGGTTATGATCCCATATGATAACTTCAACAAATTTATTATAAAGAGGGAAAAAGGGATGTGTGCGGATGCATCCTTTTCCTATGGGTTCAATTAGTGTATATCCTAGAACAGTGATGGCGAACCTTTTAGAGACCGAGTGCCCAAACTGCAACCCAAAACCCACTTATTTATCGCTGGGTGCCAGCTGGGCGTGGCCCACTGGGTGGGTATGGCTAAGGTGGGCGTGGTCACTTCAATGTTGCTCGTGGGGAGGGACGCCTGCAGGGGCCAGGCAGGGTTGGAGGAGATCCAGGGGGTCTCTGGCAGGTGGGACGGTGGGCAGGAGGCTCATCCTGCGGGGTAAGGCGAGGCACGGGTGCTACTGCTGCAGGGCGGTAAGGCAGGGGCCAGGGAGGCTGCTGCCCGACACCATCGGCCCCCGCACACAGAGGCCAGCGAGCGCATGGGGGCTGACAGTGTCCGTCAGCAGCCACAGCCTGCCAGCCCCTCGACCGGCACACTCTGGGGCTCCACAGCCTGCCGCCAGCAGTTCAGAGAAGCCACCTAGCTATACGACCGGCCGCCAATTGAGGAAGCGATGCAGTGGGTCGTGCCCGGGAAAAGGAGAGCATGCGAGGCCAGGAGGGATGAGATGGGGGGAAGGAAACCAGCCGTGCTGGGATGCATCTGGCCATGTGGAACCTTGCCGAGTTAGTGTGTGGCTGGTTGAAGACGGTTGCCATCTCCAGGGCATGGCGCGCGTGTCCACAGAGAAGGCTCTGAGTGCCGCCTCTGGCACGTGTGCCATAGGTTCGCCACCACTGTCCTAAAATATCCTAGTGTATATTCTAGCGTATACCCTAGAATATCCTAGACCAGCAGTTCTCAACCTGTGGGTCGGGACCCCATTTGGGGTCGAACGACCATTTCGCGGGGGTCGCCAAACAACGCAGTCTGCCATTTTTTCCCCCTTTTCCTTAGCTGTGCTACTCCCTTTTATTCTATTAGTGTATATCCTGTATATCCTAGAATATCCTTATATATATCCTAGAATATATATAATCCTTATATATAATGGGAACCAGTTTGGTCTAGTGGTTAAGGCACCAGGCACCAGAGTTCTAGTCCTGCTTTAAGCATGAAAGCCAGCTGGGTGACTTTGGGCTAGTCTTATTTTCTCAGTCCAACCCACCTCACAGGGTTATTGTGGGGGAAATAGGAGGGAGTATTGCCTGTGTTGAACACACACACACACACACACACACATCGAACACTCAGCAAAAAAAAGATACAATTCTGAGCACTAACTTGATGAGTTATGTGCCACGTCACAAGCCCTTTTTAAAACACCTTTTAACTTTAAAATCAAGGTTGTGTGTTTTCCTGAAACTTTATGGTTTTTTTTGCTTTCTTCCTACTGCTATTAACAAGAAGGTGCACGCTCCAGTTCTGGATTTTTCTTACCTCTTTATGTGATCGTTGGACCATAAATAAATAAACATTAACTCGTGTGTCTTACTAGCGAAGGGCAGCGTAATATATAGTAATTTCATATTGGCAAAAACAAAGATTTTTTTAAAAGATTTTTTTTTTAAAGCAACAGTTCTAGCTGTAGTTAGTTGAGAAGAATGCCTGAAAGGTGCTCACTGCAGGCATTTGCTTTTAGTGGACAAATGCAATATATAAACCTCGCCTGAATATCTGAACCCTTTCAAGAACAGAACCTGCTATTTTTGGCAACTCACCAACATATGCCCTGCGTTATACACTTTGGAGGATATGTACTGTACACCCAAACACATACAAACAAGCACCAAAAGCGTTATTTGTCTGCAAGAGATGGTTCTACAAAGTTCTTTGAGGATATCTCTATTTGGTGTTTTTCAATCTTGGCATCTCTAGGATCTGTGGACTTCAACAGATGGCTGGGGAATTCTGGGAGTTGAAGTCCACACATCACATCTTACTAAGGCTCTAATTGAATTGAGCTGGCCGTTCAAAGAGCTGGTTTCCTTCTGGTTTCACCTGTAAAAACTGTTGAGGATGCTGAGTCAATTGAGCCTGAGCTGGAGGCTGAACTGTAGCAAGTTGCTGTTGGGGTTGCTCCTGTTGGCTTTGTTGCTGCTGTTCTTGTTGTTGTTGCTGCTGCTGTTGCTGTGGTATTGATAATGTCTGTGGTTGCTGCTGTTGTTGTTGCTGTTGTGCGGCAAAAGTCGGATAAGCAGTCACCACCTGCCCCATAAACATGGTACTCGGTACCATTACTGCTCCACAGGCTACAGGCGCAGTCACTAATTTTGTCACAAGCTGTTGGCCTTGGGAAAATCTGTGAAAGCAAATACGTATCAGTTGCCCCTCCCAGGTACTCTAAATAAGACTTAATGTGGACTGCCAGTAGGTTTCATATAAAATGGCAGCCCTGTTGGGACAGAACAAATGTCCAACGAATCCAACATTTTGAGCTAGACCCCACCAGATAGGGTTCTGTTTTATTAGCAACCTTTTAATGCAATTAGTTTCATGTGGATACAATTTGACTTCGCTAACTAAATTTTTAAAACGTTTATCTGTTGAATATATAGGTTGATAGAACTACAAATCAATATATTCACTAGCTAAGGGACATAGGCATAGTCTCTTCCTGTTGGGAAGCACAGTTTAAAAGTATGGTATCATAATCGAAAGGGCTTCTCTCCCCAGCTTTATAGCCAAATAATTTCCAAGAAAGTCAAGTCAGGCATGAAGGCAATATGTTATCATCATCAGATATATTCAGCAAATGGCATCCAGTTAGTTGGCTTAGCACAGGGATAGGCAACCTTGGCTCTTTTGTGACTCATGGACTTCAACTTCCAGAATTCCTGAGCCAGCGTGGCTCAGCTTGGAAACCTCTCCCTTTCCCCTCAGCATGGCTGGCTCAGGAATTCTGGGAGTTGAAGTCCACGAGTCATAAAAGAGCCAAGGTTGCCTACCCCTGGCTTAGCAGATCAGAAAAAGCCAACCTGAAGCCATAGAGTCTCCAATATTCTGCCCCCAGAAGGATTCCCCAGAGGAATCATTTCTCTGATTCCTCTGACCACAATTGCTGAAAACTGGCAGCATGGGGAGGGGGGCTATTTTGCTTTGTTTTTTGTTTTGTTTTTTTACAAGGCACACCATTTTGAGGTTGACAACACAAAAACTGTGTAGGAAACCTTAAAAATGAGCTTGATATAGTTTTAAAAGGCCCCAAATTTAAAGAAAGAAAAAAACAAGAAAAAATATCCAGAAAATTTTATCTTTGCCTCACATATGACACTAATCTACCTCTGGTGCACCATCACTCCACCCCTGCTTAGCTCTTCCTTTCCCAAGTAACATTAAGTGCTGCCGCAGTCACCAGAAGATTGCTCCTACGCATAGCAGATAACATATCAAAATATTTTAAGTTGGTCTCTTTCTTGTTTCCTAATTTAATCCTTCTAAGTTTCTCTGAGAGAGAGAGAGAGGGGGGGAGAGAGGGAGAGAGAGAGAAGGGGATAGGATAGGATAGGATAGGATAGGAGAGGAGAGGAGAGGAGGAGAGAGAGAGACACAGAGAGAGAGAGAGAAAAAGGGAGAGGAGAGGGAGAGAGACAAAGAGAGAGAGAGAAAGACACACAGAGAAACAGAGACAGAGAGACACAGAGAGAGAGAGAAAGGGAGAGGAGAGGAGAGGAGAAGGAGAGGGGAAGAGACAAAGAGAGAGAGAAAGAGAGACACATAGAGAGAAAGAGAGAGGAGAGGGAGAGAGACAGAGAGAGAGAAAGACACACAGAAAGAGAGACAGAGACAGAGAGACAGAGAGAGAGAGAGAAAGGGAGAGGAGAGGAGAGGAGAAGGAGAGGGGAAGAGACAAAGAGAGAGAGAAAGAGAGAGACAGAGAGAGACACACACACAGAGAGAGAGAGAGAGACACACACACAGAGAAAGAGAGACAGAGACAGAGAGAAAGGGAGAGGAGAGGAGAGGGGAAGAGACAAAGAGAGAGAAAGAGAGAGAAAGAGAGAGAGAGAGACACACACACAGAGAGAGAGAGAAAGGGAGAGGAGAGGAGAAGGAGAGGGGAAGAGACAAAGAGAGAGAAAGAGAGAGACAGAGAGAGACACACACACACAGAGAGAGAGAGACACACACACACAGAGAAAGAGAGACAGAGACAGAGAGAAAGGGAGAGGAGAGGAGAGGAGAGAGGAAGAGACAAAGAGAGAGAAAGAGAGACAGAGAGAGAGAGAGAGAAAGGGAGAGGAGAGGAGAGGAGAGGGGAAGAGACAAAGAGAGAGACAGAGAGAGAGACACACACACACAGAGAGAGAGAGAGAGAGAGAGAGAAAGGGAGAGGAGAGGAGAGGGAGACAAAGAGAGAGAGAGAGAGACACACACACAGAGAGAGAAAGAGAGACAGAGAGAAAGAGAGAGGAGAGGAGAGGAGAGGAGAAGGGAAGAGACAAAGAGAGAGAGAAAGAGAGACAGAGACAAAGAGACAGAGACAGAGAGAGAGACACAGAGAGAGAGAGAGAGAGAGAGAGAGTGAGAAATATTTTGGGAAGTGGGAAGACACCAGACAATTATGAAGAAGGAGAAAAGGCATGGGTGGCTGCTGCAGAAACATTTCCTATGGCAAAACCCTATTGCCAGGCTCCCTCGTGTCATTTTACACTCACCTGATTTGCCTATCCTGGGCAAATGTGGTAATGGCAGCATTCTGGTTATTGGTCTGCTGTAGAGTAGAAGGAAGCTGGACTACATTTCCTGCAGCCGGCTGAGAAATCACCATCGTGTTGTATAAAGGGGCTGAGAGCGTGTTCTGGCCTTGAGGGCTTAGAGACGTCTGTTGACTATGCCCACTGAGGATGCTTTGTTGATTATGCTGCAGAAATAAAATATTTTGTCAGGCCAATTATTCAGCTTCATGCAACAGATCTGAACTATCACTCTTCCAATGGTAAAAAAAAACCAGTAGTCTAAATTAAATAAAAATGTTAACTATGAGCCCATTATAGTACTTATCCAATACCCTTTTCTGAGCTTAGCTGTGACCTGTAAGCACTTCCTTATGCAAAGAAGTCACTGTCTTCTTGAAGACATGTGCTAGCAAAATAAGCGCTGGTGACATCACACAGATGCAAGAGATGGTTTTGACACATAATTAGGGTATGAAGTACTTTGATTTCATTCCCAGAAAGTCGCTTCAGAATATACAGAGACCCAAAGAGGATCAAATCCCATAATGGCAGATTTCCAGGAAAAAAAAACAAAAACTGGGCTGTTCAAAAGAATTGCACAGATATGCCAAATTTACTTCACCCCTATGCTTCAAAATCACTGTTTTGGAACTGAATCTGAAACATTACACCCGGGGTCTTCAACCTTGGCCCTTTTATGACTTGTGGGCTTCAACTCCCAGAATTGCTCAGCCAACTATGCTGAGTTGAAGCCCACAAATCATAAAAGGGCCAAGGTTGAAGACCCCTGCATTACACCAGTGTTTCTCAATCTTGGTGAATTTTAGATGGGTGGGCTTCAATTCCCAGAATCCCCCAGCCAACGCTGTTGGCTGGAGAATTCTGGGAGTTGAAGTCCACCCATGTAAATGTCACCAAGGTTGAGAAACAAAGCATTACACAACTCTGCAAAACATCACCATACGGCTGAATCTTATCTACTACCTGTGCTGTGGTACTTTGCAGAGATTGTTGCTGCATCATGTGCTGAGAACCAATATGTCCACTGTTCATGCCACCTTGGATCTGGTTAGTCTGAACAACCTGGCCTTGCATGCTTATTGGTGTGATCTGTTGAATGGTTGATGCGTTTCCAGAAGCTAGCTGTACAGAACCAAAGTTTAACCCTGGAGTTGATTGCTGCAAGAACATCTTTTGGAAGAAACATAGCTCATATCAATGCTTAAAATACTACTAACAATTAAACGATTATTGCATGATTATAGTAACATTGTTTATGAGAAATTAAATGTATCCAATCAATACACTTAGAAATAAGAGCCATTCAGAAGAAAGCTCTGATTAATTAATAGAACATATAATAATGTAACTTGGAAGGAAGTCAATATTTGATAATAACCCCTACAAGTAGTCCTTGTTTAGCAACTGGTTCATGTAAAGCACGGGTGTCAAACTGGCGGCCCATGGACCGGATGCCGCACGCACAGGCCACGCCCACCCCGGCTCCACAAAGGCCAAAAAACGCCACGATACGTCACGTGACGCAATAGAGTTTGACACCCATGATGTAGAGACTATTCGTAGTTACACCGGTAATGAAAATTAACTTTATGAGCAATCCTGGCTTTTATGACCTTTGCAGGTCTGCAGAGCAAAGAAAAGCTGAAATAAAACTGAAGGTTTTCAGAGGAAGAAATGTCAGACTGAAAACTGTTCTGTGAAAAGAACAAAGAGACAGTAAACAGAGAGGATATGAAATTATCCAGAAGTACTCCGGAAGTTGCTCCACACAATTAGACCACAAAGCGGGGGTCTCTTGGGTTTTGAGCAGTGGGATGTGAGTGAATAGTCATTTCGCTCAAATTGCACTTGGAGCCTTTAAAACAGTGGTTCTCAACCTTTTTAATGCCGCGACCCCCAACCGGTCGTAAGTCGAGGACTACTCAACTGGTGCAGCACCGTTTGCAGAATGGGACTTTTGGCGGGCTCAGCAGGGCAGAGACAGCCTGGACAATTCCTATTGGCTTTTGAAAGCCAATAGAATTAGACTCTATTCAAGAGAGTCTATTCTATTGGCTTTCAAAAGCCAGTAGAATAAAAGGGAGTAGCACAGCTAAGGAAAAGGGGGAAAAAATGGCAGACTGCATTGTTTGGTGACCCCCGTGAAATGGTCGTTCGACCCCAAATGGGGTCCCGACCCACAGGTTGAGAACCACTGCTTTAAAAGGATACTAGTTTCTTATACTTCACTTTCTAATCACATTTGGAAATTGCTTATTGACTTATTTTTCAGCTATTTAGAAATCTTTGACTTAATAAATATGAAAACACTGGATGAGTCTGCCATTAATTCTTTAATGAAAGAATACTTTAACTACAAGCTCAAGTACTTAAAAAATTGAAATAAACAGAAAAAGACTAATTAAGATTTTGATTTTAGACATTTATAAACAGATTAAGAATCTAGATAAATCTGAAATAAGATTTTGGAATTAATTATACGAATCCTTCCTATGGAAACGTCAACTTGTTTTAAACATAAAAGAAATAAAGAATTTCAAATTTTGGAAACCGGAGGGAGCTAAAGGTTTTGATTAAAGGGGAAATATATATATAAAATATTACAACATTGGAAATATTGAAAGCTATTGAAAAATGTACCTAATATTGTTAATATTTACAATGTAAATAGCAATGTTTGTTTTCTATGGATAGATTGTGTCCAGAAGTTATTTTGGAAGAAATGGCAAAAGAGGAACAAAGTTACAAGAAGACAGACAGATACAGAGTTGAAAATGGATTTACAAATGACAGGCTACAAGAAAAATATGGGAAAAGATGGACAAACAGAAGAAGTTGGCTGATGTTTTAACAATAAAAAAGAAATTACAAATAATAAACCAAGGGAGGGAATCTGAATAATTATTTTATATTTACTTTACAAAAGAAATTTACTAAAGCTTGAAAGAATCCAGTGAGAAAGAGCTAAAATGAAAGAAAAAGAAATTAAGTTCTACAAGATTACTTGAATGGACTAAAAATTAAGACTGTTACCAGTAGAAGTAAAAGGAAGAAATATAGAGATTTTTCTTTGATTGTTAAAATAGTTATGTTGTTATTTCTGACAACTTAATGGACTGTAACGGATAAGATGACTGAAATGAGGATGCGTTATGGATTTGTTTATAGATAAAAGATGGGACATTGGATGAACAGATCCAATTGGTTGTAAATTAAGAGGAGATGAAAAGTTAGTAAAAATTGTATATACTTGTGATGAAGAGTGAAAATTACTTCCTTAGATATTACTTTTCTTTTTCTTTAACAAATTCTTACATTGCTTTCTTTTTCTTTTTTGTTTTTTCTTTTTTCATCTGTTTTCTTTTCCTCTCTATTTTTTCTTTATTTTACTTTGCATTAATTTTTAACTATTTAATACATTTTTTAAAAAAGGAAATCTGAACTGAAGTCATAAAATTATGATCTTTCACAAATGATCAAGCTGTAGGTCCCAATTGTAGTCGCTAAATGAGGACTATCTTTAATATTAATTATCCAATTAATTATGTGTAAATAGAATTGACTAAGTGTTAGGTTTGTGAACATTTTTCTAAAGAAATGAATTACCAAAATATAGATAGCTGTCTTTATCATGAAATGTTGCAGATAAAATACTACAGTTTATTCTAGTCAATAGAAATATAAACACAATTTTCATTGGTTGAAATCAAATCACATTTTTATGTATGTGGAAACGCTACCTCCTTTCCTATCTAATTAGTTCAAACTAACCTGGAGACCTTGCCCATGGACCATCTGGAGCTGTTCCTGAATTTTTCGCAGTTCTTCTTGCTGGCGGTGGATGTTTGCTTCTATCATTCGTGTTCTTTGTTCCAATTGGTCCTTTAAGTGTTGCATAGCTCCTAATTGAGCAGAAAACTGAAGCATTGGCTACAAAGCAGAATTTTTTATAAAAGAGCTGAATCAGTAATCAATATGTTATAAGAAAAGTATCCGACTATAACATAAGCACCCTTCTGTTAGCTATATATACATTGAAATCAATTTAATCAGCTAAAGTATTTATCAATGAACCCAGCCTAAAACAAAACAAAAAAATCCAACATTGAGAGCACTGAGCTTTTAGAGAATCCTTAAAAGCAAAAAAGGAGAAAATGGGACCAGCTGAATGAAGGGGAAAGCAGTCAGATAAACAGGAGCTACAGATAAGATTCCAAATAAAAGCTCCAATGTAAGACTTACTTATGTGACAGAACAATAGAAAACTATAGCGTGCAATGTAGCCATCTGTTATAGAATGCTGATTTAACTAGGAAGATAAGCTTATGAATTTGGCACACGATTGCAAACATGAAAACTATTACAGATTTGCTACTGAAATGACCTCTATCAAATAAACTGTCTCTCAATCATATTTGATACCCAAATGATTGTTTAAAGGTGGTTTAAATACCTTTTTAAATGTTTGCTCTTTGCAGTTCTTAAATTTGGCTACTGGGCACAATTGAAAAGCAAACTGAAAAGTAGAATTACCATTTGGACTGCTATTCAAAACTAGCTTTAGGCAATGAACTCCACAAGCCAGACAAATATAGTATTCCAACTGAAACCAACAGTACTACCTGTGTCATGTTATTCAGATCCCCAAATCAATTAATGAGTCACTGGTATCCTTGCAAATATTTACTAGTTCTGGTAAAAACTTTTAAGGGGGAAAATATATAGAAATAGCCATAGTTTACAGGAAAAAACCTAGAATTAGACTTAAAAGAGAAATCTAAAACTGTGTAATGGATTAAAAGGCAATACTGGATTTATGGATTGTTTTAAGGATTAAGATTTAGAGCAGTGGTTCTCAACCTTTCTAATACCGTGACCCCATAATACAGTTCCCCATGTTGTGGTGACCCCTAACCACTTATACATCACCAGGTGCCAGGGGCGTGGCCAAAGAAAAGGGGAAAAAATGGCGGACAGCCTTGTTTGGCGACCCCCGTGAAATGGTCGTTCAACCCCAAATGGGGTCCCGACCCACAGGTTGAGAACCACTGATTTAGAGTTAGAAGCAATTAAATATATATATATATACAGGAGTGTGATTATTAGAATAGATATTTTAAACAGATTAAGAATGTATCGGATGGTACTTATGTAGCGTTTGGGAAATATATGAAAATTATTATGTACTGGAATTGAAAAAATGATGACTGTTTAGATTGGGATGCTTTTAATAATTTATGGAATGTTTTAAATTACTAGGATGGATTTCTTGTATGACAACAAAGGCATGATAAGTAATTGGAGAAAATTTGAATTTTGTTTAATGAATTTGAATGAATTAAGGTTTAATATTATCTCGTTATTTTAAAGAGATGGATTGACTCTGGGATGACATATGTATAGGGCTGATCAATATTTTATTGCTATTAGGATATCTATTGCGTAGTGGAAGAAGAAATAAATGAGATTGGTGATAAGAGGAGGGATGTGAGAGATTAAGAATTAGAATTGATAATTTCTTGTTTTAAATTTAAACTATTGTTAATTGTAAACTGATAAAAGTTACAATACAGGTTTAATAGTGATAGAAATTTAAAGTAGAAATGGAATATTTAAATGTATCATGTTAATTGAGGGGAATAGAGAGGGGATAGTGAAATTTATTGAGTTGTGTTGTTTATGTATATTTTTACTTTTGAATGTTTGACCACCCAACCACCACGGTGGGTCCTGAGTACTTTTTCTTAAGAATTTAAAAAAACCAATAAAATGTGTTTTAAAAAAAAGAAATAGCCATATTTCAGTACTTAAATTTTATATTGCCTTGTCAGCTGACAGATCCTGGCCAACCTTATCTGGACTGGGGAGCTGAATAGGATCATACAAGGTTAACAGTTGGGGAATAAGCCTGTCAGGACTGTAGATGACACTGGGCACTAAAAAAAGTTATTTGTCTCTAAGAATTGAGTCTGATCCAGCTAAGATCCTTTAAATTCCGTGTCAAATTTTGCATTGTATTTTTGGTACTCTGCACAAAGTATCACTGTTTGCCTTAACGTTCAGATTGAGTTGCTACCTGAGACATGCCTTGCTGAAGTTGTAAAGTTGCAGGCGGGGTCATCATTGGTTGTGCCAGAGGCTGCCCGACAGATTGTGAATTTAAAGACTAAAATTGAAAATATATATATATATACATATAATTATTCAGTTACATTTCTTTCGCCTCTGATGAAACTAAAGCAGAACTTTTATTTTAATGGCAATGATATCAGGAAAATATCTATGTTAGTTGTTTCTACTAACATAGCTGAATAAAATCAAATCCTATCATATACTAACAAGAATGAATTTGGGCCGTGCAAAATAGTTTAATAAAGTCAGTTTGCTGCCTCTGATTTGCCTTAGTATAAATTCTCATAAAAATGTCAAATGTACATCTCGTAGAGGCCAACGGAGAACAAACATTCAAAGAAGAAACCTCAGAGATTTATCCCTGTGTTGCTTTCAGGGAACATAACAACTTTCTATAAACATCTTTGTCTTTGCACCGAATGGTTATCTGACGTGAAAGAGATGCAAATAGAAAAGTAATTCTAAAGAACATGAACATCACAACATTTATAACCAAACGGTTCAACTGAAAGACATCATCTTCAGCTCACCAAATTGAAATGTATTAAAATGTAATTTCCATTCAAATATGCGTTACCTTCTATCTATACTACTTGAACAGCCAGATGTACTGGGTGACATAAACAAAAATGTACTGTAAAAATGTATATAGAGAGCACAGGGCAGAACCCCCTAGATATCTGAAAGTTTCCGAAATGATCAAGTGTAAACTGGATGATGAGATAATCTTCTCAGTGGTTCTCAACCTTTTTAATGCCGCGACCCCCAACCGGTCGTAAGTCGAGGACTACTCAACTGCTGCAGCACCGTTTGCAGAATGGGACTTTTGGCGGGCTCAGCAGGGCAGAGACAGCCTGGACAATTCCTATTGGCTTTTGAAAGCCAATAGAATTAGACTCTATTCAAGAGAGTCTATTCTATTGGCTTTCAAAAGCCAATAGAATAAAAGGGAGTAGCACAGCTAAGGAAAACGCGGGGGAAAATGGCGGACTGCGTTGTTTGGTGACCCCCGTGAAATGGTTGTTCGACCCCAAATGGGGTCCCGACCCACAGGTTGAGAACCACTGCTCTAGCTAGTATTTGCTGTTCTTCTTAAGGAACGAAAGTAACACTTCTTAACTTTGGAGAAGTGATGCTACCTCTAAAGAATTACCTGGTTACCAAGCGAAGCTCTCCTTTGTGCAGACTTTTCATGTGCAGATAAATTTTGCCTTGGAGGAGTGCTGGTATCCACTGTCATCTTTGTCGGGGTTGCTAAAGCAGCAGCCAATGAATATTGAAAGATAATTTCATTAATCACCTAAAACATATATGCTTAGACAAATGCTTAGTCTTTCACTGGGAAATTATAAAGCTTTTAAAATTGAAAACAGACTCCCAATGTAATCACTTGTCCTTTGTCTCTTAGCTTCAAACAGACTATGTTTAGAAAGATGTTGAGACTCCAGAAAGAGTACAGAGAAGAGCAACAAAGATGATTAGGGGACTGGAGGCTAAAACATATAAGGAACGGTTGCTAGAATTGGGTATGTCTAGTTTAACAAAGAGAAGGACAAGGGGGGACGTGATAGCAGTATTCCAATATCTCAGGGGCTGCCATAAAGAAGAGGGAATCAAGCTATTTTCCAAAGCACCTGACGGCAGGACAAGAAGCAACGGGTGGAAACTAATCAAGGAGAGAAGCAACTTAGAACTAAGGAGAAACTTCCTGACAGTGAGAACAATTAATCAGTGGAACAACCTGCCTCCAGAAGCAGTAAATGCTCCAACACTGGAAGTTTTTAAGAAGAGACTGGACAGCCATTTGTCCGAAAGGGTGTAGGATTTCCTGCCTGAGCAGGGGGTTGGACTAGATGACCTCCAAGGTCCCTTCCAACTTTACTACTATTACTATTACTATGTCAGAAACAGACTATAAATAGTCAACCAAAGGAAAAGGTTTCAATTCTCGACACTCACATGAAGGATCCGAAACTGCCGTATGGGAAGATTTCCTGGAACTCCTAGAGGAGGCAGAAGGTGTGGGGCTGTGATCAAACCTCTCCAATGCTTCTTTGAGGCTCACTGTATTTATATGATTGTCAGAACCAGAATCCTGACTCTGGAGGGGGAAAAAAAAAAGCATTTGCTATCTCATCCAAAACAAAACAATAGGAAAAATCAGGTTATATTTTTAAATTGTGCAGAAAAAAACTTTCATAAAGGCCACAACTTTCAAAGGGCATTCATCTACTTCTTCTGCTCCAAATTATTCCAGTTTTTGATGCTATGAAATAATCCAAATATCTTCCTCTCCCAGCCATGGCATACAGTCTGTGTTTGTTTGCTTTCTTACAATCCAGTAAAAAAAGGGCATAAAACAGGCCTGTCCAACCCATGGCCCACGGGCTGCAGGAGCCTCTGGTCAGCTAGAAATGCGGCCCAACAAGCTCGTAAACCTTTAACATTATTCTGGTATTTACATACGTTAACCATATTACATGTTTTATATATGGCCCAAGACAATTCCTCTTCACTCAGTGTGGCCCAAGTAAACCAAAAGTTGGACACACCTAACTGTATGAAAATGAAAAACTGGAAGCGAAAAGTGAGTGTGCACGTATAAAATGTGAGACTGAGAACGACAAGGTAGGTGTGTTGTGGAACTGAGTCAGAGAGAGAGAAGTGAATAGCCAATTCTTCAAGAATGAAAGCTTTTTAGAAAAGAAAGTGCAATCATTTTAAAAACGACCATGAGAACAAAGCAAATGTTTTGTTGTTCTACCCGTATTATATTTTGCAAACCTTCCTGTGTCCTCAGAACCAAAAGGACTGGAGACTCTTATAATAGTAGTGTGCTAAAGCTGGAAAATACTCATAGATGCATGAGAATTGTAGAAATGGAATTTAATAGCATTGTACACAGTGTTCCACTACATAAAACAATATCTGAAATTTATCTTTTCTGTAAACCTAACATAACAGAATGTTACTAGAACCCTGAATATTTAATTATTTCTGGTCTTATGAACATAAGAAATAGAAATAAATGTATTTATATATCATCATTATTCATCATCATTTTAGCTATGTTCTATCCACTGCAGGATGAAGGCCTCTTCCGCATGTTTCCAACCAATACGGTCCTGAGCTTTCTTTTGCCAATTGGGCTCGCAATACTTGCTAATGTCGTAGATCCATCTTGTTTTAGGTCTCTTTTGTGGACGCTTTTGATCAAGTGGGATCCATTCTACTGTGTTTCCCCGAAAATAAAACCCGGTCTTATATTTTTTTTTGCCTCCAAAAGAGGCATTAGGTCTTATTTTCAGGGGATGTCTTTTTCCCCCAATGTCTCACCCCGCCACTGCGGCACCAACAGCCCTGTCCAGCAGGAGCCCACATGGCCGCCAACAGCCCACTTCATCTGCAGCCGCTCGCCACCATTCACACATGTCACCCCACAGCCTCCGTTTAGAAAGGCCTCTGCAGCCAAGAATGGAGCTCCAGGTTGATGCTTGCGTTGCTCGCTGGTCTCTTTTTCGCCGGCAGGCGCCTTTTCAGGCCGGGGGGTTACACACGTGTCAACCCGGAGTTCTGTTCTCAGCTTCAGAGGACTTTCCTGAAGGCTGATGCATGAGAGCGGTGGTGAGCGGTTGCAGAAGTGAGCCGGCAACAACCACACAGGCTCCTACTGGATGGGGCCGTTGGTGCCATTGCCACAAGGCAAGGCAGGTGTTGTGGCATGGGAGGCCTGGCTGCGGTGGTCCTGAGGTAAGTGGGTCCGGGGAGCATGGGACAGCTCCACCCCCCCCCACCCTAGCTTGATTTTTAAGTGTGCCCCTTGCCCCACCTCGTGCAACGAGATGGTGGGACAGAGTGGACGGGTCTTAACTAGGGTTTATTTTGGGGGAAAGGGCTATATTAGGCACATACATAAAAATTAAGCTAGGGCTTATTTTTGGGGAAACATGGTGTGAGTGCCTTGGTCCAGCGGCCCTCAATTCTTCTTGTTATGTGACCAGCCCATTTCCATTTCAATTCTTTTATTCTCTAGATGGTATCGTATACTTTCGTTTGTTCTCTAATCCATGTGCAGGTCTTTCTAACTTGTCTTGCAATGCCAAGCACGTATCTTTCCAGGCTCTTTGCGCCATGTACTCATATATAACTTTTATGTGAATGCATTTTGGGAAATTCAGTTCACTTTATAGACGCAAATTAATTTTAATCCATTTAAATCCTTCACCAGGTGAAAGGAACAATATACTAGTAAAAAGAACAAATATAAAGAAAGAGCAGAAAACATACTTTCTCTGCTATAATCTCTGGCAGAGATTCTTCTATGCCAAGTTCACGCCGCCTTTCCGCTCGAACCTCAGCATAACTACAGATTAAAAAAGTGAAAATATCGGGATATTATCAAAACACACAAGCATTGGCCCCATTTAAGATATTGTATTTTTAGTTCTGTAGAGTTCTCTACTAAAACAAAACATACCGTATATTTCGGTGTATAAGGCGACTGGGCGTATAAGACGACCCCCAACTTTTGAAAAGATTTTCAGGGTTTAAAAAGTCGTCTTATACGCCAGAAAATACAGTAAAATATTGAATTTCTGTTTATAGATGAGCACAATAGGAGCTCCATTCCTTTGCTGCTGGAAAGCTTTGTCCTGTTAGTGCAGTGGTTCTCAACCTGTGGGTCGGGACCCCATTTGGGGTCGAACGACCATTTCACGGAGGTCGCCAAACCATGCTGTCCGCCATTTTTTTCCCTTTTCCCTAGCTGTCCTACTCCCTCTTATTGGTGGCCACACCCACTTGGGGGTCACCACAACATGGGGAACTGTATTATGGGGTCACGGCATTAGAAAGGTTGAGAACCACTGTGTTAGTGCTTATTTCTGTAAAAAAAAAAAATAGAGCTGGCCACTAGGGGGCAGATTGGTTTTAAATTCAGAGAACAGCTACCTGTATATTCCTGCGTATAAGACGACCCCCCCCCGACTTTTGAGAAGATTTTCTGGGTTTAGAAAGTCGTCTTATACGCCGGAAAATACGGTAATTATAATTCAGAATTAATGTAATCATACAACGTTTGTCTTGACTAACTCAAGATATTTTTCACTAGCCATTTTCCTGAAGCTTAGTTGAAACAGCAAAAGTAAAATAGAAGTAGAAAATGGTTTTAACCAATTAAAGTAAAAGGTGATGTTACCTTACTACTGTGTGTGTACATACGATGAATTCCGGTCTAGAATTCCATTGATGGTAGGTGATATAGTAATGAGTCTGCAACCAAATCCACTGCTGGCCTTTTGTGAGGAATCGGTAATAGCAGGATTTCCCTTTCCCGTACTGCATTACTATAATATAAACAACAAAAGGGAGGCTTCACAATATGCTGATTCTGGGATATGGCCTGAAACAGCTTACAGCATTTGTTTACATTTTCTTGATAGGAATCTAAATGTCTAAACACAAAGAGTTTAAATCTGTTGGAACTTATTATACAAGGAGACAAGATATCCAAATGACAAGAAAGAACCAGTGCTGAACAGGCTATATAAAACACGTCGGTTTTTAAAAAGTCGGCAACAAAGGCATTTCAACATGATTTTTAAAATTTGCGAAGATATGCCAAATCAAAGTGAGCTAATGATAAAAAATTAAAAAGGAAGCCTTATTTAAAAACAAGGAAAACAGTTCTATGAATTTTATTTATAACGATTGCACCATTGGTACAGTCTTTCTAAGCAAGTTGCATTTCCTAAGCTTTAATTATAGGGGGGAAAAATAGGAATATGTTTACCATTTGACATATTAATGGTGTTGCATTGGGTTCCAACCCTGGGCAAAGGTTAAACTAGATTACCTCCAAGATCCCTTTCAACTCTTATATTCTACGATTATGTAGGATGATTATGTTATTACTTACAATGCTCATGACATTTTGCCAAATTTTCCAAGTCATCCACATGATAATAATCATAGCCTGATGTCCCCAATACTTCAAAGGGTAAATAGCCTATAATTGGTGGTGCCCTGGATAATGATACAAGGATTATTTCTTTGGTTTTCAGAAATGAGGAAAAAAAATGCTATTTTTTTTTTCAAAAATGCATGGTTGGAATTAAATAAAAATATTCATCAACCACAACAGTGTTCATTGTTTGCTATACACAGATACACAGGTTTTCCCAGTTGCAATGTATGGCTGTGAAAGTTGGACCATAAGAAAGGCTGAGCGCCAAAGAATTGAGGCCTTTGAACTATGGTGCTGGAGAAGACTCTTGCGAGTCCCTTGGACTGCAAGGCGTTCAAACCGGTCAGTCCTAGAAGAGATCAACCCCGACTGCTCTTTAGAAGGCCAGATCCTGAAGTTGAAACTCAAATACTTTGGCCACCTAAAAAGAAGGAAGGACTCACTGGAGAAGGGCCTAATGCTGGGAAAGGTTGAGGGCAATAGAAGAATGGGATGACAGAGAATGAGGTGGCTGGATGGAGTCACTGAAGCAGTAGGCCTGAGCTTCAATGGACTCCAAGATGGTAGAGGACAGGAAGACCTGGAGGAACGTTGTCCATGGGGTCGCGATGGGTCGGACACAACTTCGCAACTAACAACAACAAATACACAGATAAGGCCAAATAATGCCCACTTGTGATAATAAAATGCTACTACTTGGGTACTATATTTCTAAGAAATGGCACCTGTGATCCAAGAAAAGGAATTTCCATTCTAAGCTATGCCTGGAGGTGAACTCTTCATTAGGTTCTTCCACTGTGCTCATTTCCTAGAAAAAATAAATAAATTAAAAAATGTAAGATTCTCAGAATTCCTCTGATCTAATTTAAAGACCCTTGTAATACAGTTGTCCAGATAATGAATCTGATTAATTTAATGAAACTAGCTGCACATGCATTACTATCAATTTTGTAGGATGAACATTTCCTCACCATAGGAGTTTTGTTCATGGGTTCAACAAACGAACCGCAGGCACCCTCAGCACATCCACCTATTTCTCTTCAGAGCTGGGAATAAGTCTGCTGATGTAGCTGGTCCCTGTACTATTTCCAATGGATAATTCATGTGCTGTATTCTTTTTTAAAGAGGGTGGCCTTTAGAAATCATTTCCAGCAATTTAATTTTTCATGATGAATGACTCACCACACAGATATCAGCATTTCTATAGGGAAGATATATCTACTTTGGTTCCAGTAACAAACAGTTGAGACATATAAGGTTAAGGTAAGACTTGGGCTTCATCCACTAGATGTTACTAAAATGCAGCAAACAGAAGCTGGATGTAGATGCTTTCACATCTCCGGTACTTCACAAAAGCCCTTTGTCTAGGGCAGTGGTGGCGAACCTATGGCACGCATGCCAGAGGCGGCACTCAGAGCTCTCTCTATGGGCATGCCAGCGTTGCCCCAGCCCCGCCTCCCCCCGTGGCCCCCTCACCAGCAGCCCCCCCAGAGAGTTGCCCCCGGGCGCGGCCCGTGCGAAACAGCACAGCCAAGGACATGGCAGCCAAGCAGTAGGGACAAGACTCCGCCCTCATTCCCTGTCGTGTGCAGATATGCTGTGGAGTGCAAGCGGAGGGCGTGGCCGCCATGGTGCTGCAGGGCTGCCACGGCGATCTGCTGAGGCGGGCTGTGGAGGCCGTGGGTGGCCCTACAGGTGGGCAGGTGGGGCAGGGGTGGAGTGGGCGGGGCTGTTTTTGGGCACTCGGTGTCTAAAAGGTTCACCATCACTGGTCTAAGGCAAATACCATTATTTGTGTCAGAATCCAATTATACTTCATCTCCAGTTATCAATTATAGAAAACCCCATTTTTGCCCTCTCTGGATTCTGTCATACAAGAACGGGAAGGGGGTGAACAAAGGGGCTTTATGGCCCTCACTTCCTTCGGTACAACTTCAATGGGATTGAATGTGGATAGCACCAAAAGGCCTTATCATAACAAAGGAGGCTATTACCTTTCATGTAGTTTTCTCTGAAGTCTCCATCCAGCCGGCAGAAAGGAAAAGGGGGTGGGATTGTGATGCCTGAAACTGTCGCTGGAAGAGGGGGGTAATTGGGTGGGACTACTGGGGAACCCCTTAAAACCTTGAATGGGACAGCTTGGACCCCAAGTCCTGTCTAGAACGCCTGCAACCATTTTCTCTTAATAAAGGATTCCTGTTGGAAGAATTATTCCAAGAGTTCTGTCTTCTTAAGATGCAAAGTGGGGTGGGTCCTTACAATTAGTTTGTTATTTTAACAACTAAATATCTTTTCTAGTCTGGAAACTGCTGCTTAATATTTAAATAACTATTAAATAAGAATAAATCAGATTAAGTAAAATGCAAAGAACTAGCCCAAAAGATTTTGATGAAACAATTTTAACCAACCTTAATAAATTGAGGTGTAGCTAACCTAACTGTAGCTACAAGGCAAATTCTGTCTTCATACGAAGACCTGTGAGGTCGTTGGATGGTTTCTTCATAACCATTATGTGCAGAGTTAGGCACTATACAGAAAAGAAAGAGTTTAAAATTACAATAACTACAAAGCATCGGCACAAACACATATAAATAAGCAATAGTTCAAAATACAACACACTATCACCTGAAAAATAAAGAGTTCACTTTTTAAATGAGAATTTAATTTATCACTTTAAATTAAACTTTAATTGCATTAAAGTAATATTAATCCAAACTCTTTGTTTAGTTCAGGGGTAGGCAACCTTGGCTCTTTTATGACTCATGGACTTCAACTCCCAGAACTCCCATGCTGGCTCAGGAATTCTGGGAGTTGAAGTCCACAAGTCATAAAAGAGCCAAGATTGCCTACCCCTGGTTTAGTTAGTGAAACTAATTCATTAGAATAACGAGTTGATTTTAATCAACAGCCAATTTTAATTTCCCACACACTTCAGACTAAAATCTCTGTGGGCACACACGCCTCGCTCTTTGGCTAAGTTTTCGCAAGAAAAAGCCATTTCTCAAGCCCCTTCCTAGCCAAAACAAGCCTCCGGAGCGAGCACACCTCGCTCTTCTTAAGAGCAATTCTGCGAAAACAAGCCTCCAGCGCGAACATGCTCGCTCCGGAGGCTTGTTTTGGCTATGAAGGTGCTTGAGAAATGTGTTGCTCTCAAACTTACAAAGTACAAGCCAAGGTTAGACAAATTATCAGCATGCATACAACAGCAAAAATCATATTAATTGTTCAAAAGCATGCCAAATGCAAACATTTACCTTTCAATAAAAAGTTGTTTGTGTCATTGAAAGCTTTGTTATTGTGTTTTTCTTTTAAGACAAAGGATGTTAATGTATGAGTTGTTTTTTTTAAATGAAAACCTCAGTATTCAGGTTAAATTGCCAAGTTGGCACTTTGCAATCAATAAGTGGGTTTTGGTTTTCAGTTTGGGCACTGGGTCTCTAAAAAGTTTGCCATCACTGGCCTACAGTCTGACCAAGACCTATAGGCTAAGTAAGCTGTCATTTCAAGTAGGTAATCTGGAGAACCTGAAAAGAGCAGCAGGTTTTTCATTTTGAATTTCTTTCTTATTTGTGCTTGCAGAGGCAGGTATTTGGGAGACTTCCTGCCTCAAACAAGAAACTATGGTACAGATAGTCCTCAATTTACAACAGTTCATTTAGTGACTCTTCAAAATTACAATGGCACCGAAAAAAGTGACTAGGACTGTTTTTCACGCTTACGACCGTTGCAGCATCCCCATCAACATCTGATCAAAATTCAGATCGTAGCAAGTGGTTCATACTTATGATGGTTGTGATATCCCAAGGTCGTGCAGCCTTCTGACAAATAAAGTTAATGGGGAAGCCAGATTCACTTAATAACCGTGTTGCTAACTTATTGTTTGCAGTGATTCACTTAACAACTGCGGCAAGAAAAGTCATAAAATGGAGCAAAACCTATTTAAACAAATATGTCACTTAATCACAGAAATTTTGGGTTCAATTGTGGTCGTAAATTGAGGACTACGTGTATAATTCTACTTCCATGTAAAGGGATATGAGGTTGCAACCTTGAACTCAGAAAAAAGAGCTCTTTAACTTAAAATTCAGCTATCTTCAGGCTCATTATACATTCTCATTTACAGCTCCATAATAACTATGATGAGTATAATGCAGTGTCTCTAAAAGAATCAGCAGTTCAGGAAATTGAAATTAAATTGTTAATATCCACCTTTCATTGCCTGGTGTTTTCATGCTCATATCATTGTAACTCTATCATTATCAATTTGGTATTATGCCTATTCATTGTACAAAAGCAAATAATTTTTCTTATTTGTTTTACCATTTCACAGGTTGTCAAAACTGTGAAAAATATTGCTTATCAAAACATATTACGTGCTTTAATTAACTTACTGTTACTCAAGGATTTAAAGTTTCCTATGCATTTTACATATTCATATGTAGGTGGCTCTTTAGGGTCTATTGTCCCTCGAAGCATATGGCAACAGAACTCCAGTTGATTTTTTGCTGCAACAATAAATTGAATAAATAGTGAAATATCAAGATTAAATTAAAAGCTGATATATTTGAGTAAAGTATGATACAAAATAAGAACCAATGGAAGAAGCTACTTTTTGTATGGCATAGCATTATCTTAGCCATCTAAGTTTATTTTTAGTATCTTTGCACAATGTCTAGATCTTTCACATTTATAAAATAATGCCTGTGCAAATGTACTGCGTGTCCCTCCAGATTCACATAGCTTTATGCCCAGACTAATATCACTATAACTGCAGTTTTTAACTTACTTTCTTAGCTCAAATGAACACTTTTTATCTATAGAACTATTGGCATTGCAAAATACTATTACTTACAATAGTCATTTTTTAATCGGCTACATTGTGAGTGACCAGCTTTTATGAAACTCGGATAAATCACTGATAGAAATATGCAGAAACCACTCGTTTCAATTCATGGACTACTGTAAAAATAGCTCTATCTTTTTTGAGTTTCCCCAAAGATAATATCCAACATTCATATTGGAAGTAAGATTTTGAATATAGCTCTGTTGTCCACTGATACAGAATGAGAAAAACAAAATTAGCTGTAAGCAGTGGTGTGCTGGAGCTGGCATGTACTGGCTTGTAGGAGCCAATTGTTAAATTTTCTAGAATTCTGAAAGCTAGCTGACAACAGAGTGGAGTCCCAACACCTAGTGTGTGCCAATCAGCTGTTTGGCAAGGTGGTGATAATGGAGCTGGCAGAGTCAGTTGTTAAATATTTATCAGCTGTTAAATATTTCCTCTGGAAGGGACCTCAGAGGTCTTCTAGTCCAACTTCCTGCTCAAGGCAGGAGACCTTACCATCCAGGTTAAACGGCTGCCCAGTATATTTTTAAAACCTCCAGTGATGAAGTATCACAATGTTCTCACTGTCAGAAAATTTCTCCTTACTTCTAGGTTGGATCTTTCTTTAACAAAGTTTTCACCTATTACTTCTTTCCTGCCCTCTGATCCTTTGGAGAATAAATCAATCTCCTCTGTGACAGTGTAGTAGCTATATGTGGGGTTTTTTCCAGCTAAAGTTGAATAAAGATTATGTATGCCAAATAAAAGAAATTGGAGCAGGGGCTTTTAACCTGCATCTCTATCGAACTTGAAAAATGTTCCAGTAGCTATGTGCTTTTGAAAAAAAAAAAGGACATTTGCAGCAATGATAATTTATTCTGCAAATAATACATATAAACACATCAAACATGTTGAAATGTTTTTGTGCCAAGGTGTACATAAAGAATAATTATGCTTTTTCCTAAAATAGTTATTGGGGTTGAGAAGAAATTAGCTGATTGATATTTTCCACAAAATATTTCAGGACTCTGTCAAGTCTGTTAATTAATTCAGCTCAGAAATGATTGCTATACAAACTCCAAAAATGCAACACTAGAGAAAAGTAGCCAGTATAAAGAAATAATAAAAGGATCCCTTCCCCCTCAAAAATACACTGTAATTGGTTAGGGAAATAAAATTATTTCCAAATCATTCTGCTTATCTTGAAGTCTCTTATTTGGCTAAACCTAACACATTCAATATTTCCAGTCTCTACTATTATCCCAGTTTCAGATAATCCAACAGAGTTTAGACCAGTGTTTCTCAACCTTGACAATTTTAAGGCATGTGGACTTCAATTCCCAGAATTCCACAGCCAGCAATGCTGGCTGTGGAATTCTGGGAGTTGAAGTCCACATGCCTTAAAATTGTCAAGGTTGAGAAACACTGGTTTAGACAGTGTTATAGCTTTGAATGATAAATAAAATAGTGTACAAATAAAGTTTTCTGTCATTCCCTGCATTTCTGAAATTCAGAGTGTGTAATCTTTTATATAACAAAAATAGCTCTGGATTAAGAAAACTCTACTATTTGGAGAAGCACAAAAGTACCAAAGACAATGGGACTGAAGAAACAGCTAAAGAGCCATAAAAAAACTGTTATGAAAAGGAAATAGTATCTGATGATAGAAGTACACTTCAGTTGTTGGCGGCATCATTTGTTTTGCATAATACTATCCTTTTCATTTACCCAACAAGTGAATTACTTCAGTGAATTCTTACCCCAACAGATAAATAATTGTCTTTTCAGGAAGTCGTATATTTGTAAACATGCAGGGCTTTAGGATATTTCCTTGTAATTATAAAATAATTCAAAATTTCAACTTACATTTTAAATATTCTGGGGTCAATGAATCACTTTCCAAAAGATGTGTAGATAGTATTTTATAAACCTCTGAATGTTCCCCCTCAGGGACAAAATTAAATATACTCTGATCCACAAGGTCAGACTAAATGAGAAAAAAAAAACAGATTGAAAACTAAAATGCAGTATTAATGAATCTCACTTTTTAATATAAAATCAATCTGCCAAAGAGAAAAAAGTATACATTCTGTAGCACATGATCAGGTATGCTACATCAGTATTAATTTAGATGTGGCTAATAAAAGTTACTATATTCCCATTTTTAATTGTGTTCTAGTCCCATGAATATAGAAAGCATTGAACTCTTCAGTGGAGGAATTATAGTATCCAACTTTGAAGTAGCAGTTGTGAAACCTGTGAAGAAGCTACCTGTCTGCTGGATGGGTGACAATGGGCCAGTCACCTACTCAGACTCATGACAAACTACTTTTAAAAATTGCCTTGTTGTTGCTAGGAGTCAAAAGTGACTTTAAAAAAAAACAGTTTTCTACGGCATTGTCTGCTTTATTATAGAACCTTTCTTTTGTAATTTCTATATGGATATATAGCATAAAATAACCTCCCTTGACTTTTGGATGTCAAGTAATGAAATATTGGTTCAGAGTATTCATTTTCAAGTGTTCTGAAAAATACATGTATAGTCAGTAGGATTTTCTACTCGTTTCCTTTCAGGGGCAAAACTTCATGCCACAGTACAAATATTTTTAGCTTCATAATGTATGAATGTGGGACAAGCTCTTGAGACTGCCTGTCTGGTTAGATGAAACTACTGGTAAAAAGTTTGGACTTGGATCAGTTAAGTGTAGAGAAGTACATATTTGCCAGCATATTTCAGTTCACACATACAGTAGTGGCCAAAATTGTGGAAACCTTTTGGGAAAAGTGTATTTTTGAGGTTTGATGGCTAATAACACCACTTTTATTTGGAGTAATACCATAAAATTATATATCAATGGAAAGATAATTGAATCAAGAATGTAATGCAACATAGTTTGTTCAATTATCTGTACTGCATTCTATGAAAAGTTATAGCCAAATAACCAGAAAAGGAAGCACAACTTCTTAGGTTGATCTCAGGGAGCTTTCCTTCATCCAGTTGTAGCCAATGAGCATGAGTGTTTAGAGAGCCAATCGGGTATCATCTTGTTTTGGCAATGAGCCAATCAGATCACAGTAGAATTCAGTTATTGATGTCATGTATTGAAGCTGAGAGGAGGATATTGGTCAGTGTGTTATGTGATTGCTATCAAGTTGGTTGGGTTCTTTCATTTAGTGAACTTGTAAAACGTAATAAAATTAAAGTAATGGTGCAAAGAGTTGACCGGTTGCCCAGAAAGCGATGTAAAATAGTATTATTAAGTGAACAAGGCTACAGTTATAAAGAAATTAAAAGAAAAATTGGTGGAAACTTAACCAATGGTGGCATTTCTACTGTACACTTTTCCCAAAAGATTTCCACAATTTTGGCCACTACTGTACAAGCATCTATCCTTCCATTATATTATTATAATTTGTTTATCCACTCTTCCAATCTTTAGTATATAAAAAACTGCAACAAATTTTATGTCAGGTTTATTTTTGCCAAATAACACTCCATATCTTAATATACTTCTTTTGAAGCTAGTTTGTGCTATTGTATGAAATTCTATTCAATGAAAAAGATGTTTTCAAAAACCAGAAGCTTTCTCTTAAGATGATTACATTGGTTCTAGCCATCAATATTGATGAAAGTGAGCATTTAAAGAGAATACATGCTTATATAAACTGCATTTTATTCTTCAATGTCTGAAAGGAAAGCATAGGGCAAATTTTGAAAATGGCCAGCCTAACTCTAGTATAGTGGAAAGGTAGATTAAAGATCTTCAGCTGAGTATCTTCGTTTTGTGATCTCAATCAGAGATACTCTTAGTAGTCTGCATGGGGAGGATACATGCATGGGGATTATTATATGCCATCATAGTCCATCTGATTCTTCAATAATTTATTAATCATCTGTTAGTAATTGCAAAAAATATATTACTTTCTCTACCCAGAGGCCGATTCAGGAACATGAAGAACTTGCTGGATTTACACAGGCATTCTTGCATGCGCCTTGCAGCATGTGTTTGCATATAGGCAGCAATATAGGTTTAAAACTTTTATTATCCTTTTCCTATTTATTTAATTAACATAAATTAATTAATGTGTCTTGTTTGCCAGCTGAGTTGTAATGGACTCTTAAGTAACTTATAAAATGTATAGTAAAAAAAAATCAAGATTATGATTACTTTAAACAATAAAATATACAACCCAATTAGCCAAATGAATATTAAAAGTGTCATGCCGAAATTGTTTAGTATGGCATCACTGATAATAATTCATCCCTAAGAACTTCTGGAAAATCTATGCTTTTTAGGAATGGGATGAGGTTGGGGGTCTTCAAACAGAGGGGAGCTACTGCAGAGAATGATCATGTCTAGCTTCCTATAAGGATCTTTAACAAATAGTCCCTAGTCAGTTAAGCGAGACCAAGTCTGTAGAGGTTATATACCTAGCTCAGGGGTAGGCAACCTTGGCTCTTTATGACTCGTGGACTTCAACTCCCAGAATTCCTGAGCTAGCACAGCTCAGCTTGGAAACCTCTCCCTTTCCTCTCAGCATGACTGGCTCAGGAATTCTGGGAGTTGAAGTCCACGAGTCATAAAAGAGCCAAGGTTGCCTACCCCTGACCTAGCTATATTATGGTGACCTCACAATGCTAATACTGCAACTGCCACAGTTGCTTAATATACTGCAATGCTGGACAAACACTGGTGAATGGAGCAGGCCCTGGTTTTAGGCCTGACAGAGCTGGGGTGTATCATTTTCTGAGTTCTCCAGAAACCTTCCTGTCACAGCACTGACCTTAGAGAAACTATAGTACAAGACAGACCAGACTTTCCTAGGCTGGTGCCCTCCCGGTGCAATGAATTTCAACTCACATAATTCACAGGAAGCCTGGCCTGAGAGGAAACCCAACACATTGAGAGGGCACCAGGGTTGTGGAAAGCTGAGAATAACACAGTAGAAGTTCCACTGAGAAAAAAAAACAACAAAGTCTTTAAAAAGATGAGAATGCTGTTTAAATTCCAGATTCTTAAATGGCAGATGGTAAATTGCCCATCAAATGACTTTAGAAGTTTGGTATCTCTCTGAAAGTGTGTACTTACTGGCAAATGTTCAAGTAAGGGGGTTACACTTTCTGATACATATATTATACTTCCATCTGTCATGATTGCTAGAAAAAAACCATCAAGAGCCTGAAATTAAACAAAAGAAACAGTAAGAGATAAACTGGTCTCTAACTGTTAATTTAGTCAACATTCAGTAAAAGGAAATAACTTAATTGAACGTAAAAGTAAACCTGCTTTCCATGGTGAATAATGTATAGTTGGCAATGCTGAACATTATCTAAATAGAAGATTCTGGGTTAGGTTGGGAAAATGTACAGTAGATTATTGCTGATATTATTTTTATCTTATTTTTCAGTCTAAAAAGACTCTCAACAGGGCTAGAGTTTATGTTAGATAAAAATTAAGAAGGCTGAAATTCAAATAACTTAAATAAAATATTAGCAAAAATATTACTTCAAAAAACCAGAAGAAACAAAAACAGTAGAAATCAGCAATCGGGAACTGAAGTAATAAATTACAATGTTATGAATTCCCAGGGGAAAAAAAAAAGCCTCTGCTGTCTTTTGGAACCAAGTCCTAATTGATGGAAAAATGGAAAGCATTTTCTATAAGCTAGACTCAATCTTCTGGGCTTTGAAAAGTGATAAGATACATTAAAGCAGGAGTCCAACATTAGTCCAAGAGCCAATTTAATCTTATAAATATACAAATAATATATTCCAAACTATAAACAAGGCATCTTCCCTCCCACTTTCCCTGAATAGCATTCTGCGTAAGTGACATTTCTTTGGAACATATTTTAACACACTATTAATAAAAATGCACTTTAAGGATAATGTGATGCTAAAAAGTTACGTTCAACTGTGCCAATGTACGGTAATATAAAAAAGTAACAGCAATAATAGTCTAATCACATATTTTAAGATAAAAAGACATTACCTCTAACATTAACTGAGTGAATTCTTCATTACTAAGGAATGTGGGTTTCCAGTCCTGTCGTATCTCACTGGCATCTGACTGGGCAGTGATTTCTACAAAACAATAGAAATTTTCTATTGTACCTATCCACCTTTGTATGCTACTAACAATCCTGTTATTCTAGATGGGGAGAAGGCAATGAGCTACCAAAAATGAGAGTACTGAGTCAGTCAAACAGATGAAAAACAAAAGGTTCACTTTGCAAGATTGCTCAGTTTGCATTTTGCTTCAAAGTGTCTGGCCAGGATCCTACAAGACTATTATTTTCCAACACCAAATATCCATTCTCTATGCAAATGAAGTGAGTTGTTAATCCTTTGTTAAGGTCCAAAATTCCATCCAGCTAACTAACACAATAGCTTACTTGACCTTAAATTGCTCTTTAGATGGAGAATACATTATTTGCAGCTACCAAAAATTTAACTAAAATTCACTTTAAATTCTGGCTGCAGCCAAACAATTCTTATTTTTTTTATCAGTATTATGCTGCAAATCAATAAAGCTCACAAACATAAGGTAAACTTAACATCTTATTTAAATAACTTGCATGGGATAGAAGTTCTATAGCAGACATGTCAAACCCGCGACGTCACATGATGTCACGCAATGTATCGGGACAGTTTTGCCATTGCTGGCAATGGGGTGGGCGCGGCTTCCATGTGACACGTCCGGCCCGTGGGCCAGCAGTTTGACACCCCTGTTCTAGAGAGAATGGGAACAAATTCCATTCTAAGAAGCTCAAGCATGAAAGGGACAAGAGAAAACTTTCACCTGATCCGTCAATCAAACCTAAACCAATCAATCCAAATGGTGAGCAGAAGAATCAGTCAAAACCAAGAAAAGGTAGGCTTTAAAAAGAGCATAGGGAAATTCTATTTTGCCTTTGGTATAACTTGTTTTTTATGAGGGGGAGAAGTTTTCCAGTTGGCACATAGCCAGGTGAGCAAGACTCTAATTCTCAGGGAATTGGAAAATGGAGATACAGGAAATATTTAGCAATTTAAGAACTAGTGGAAGTAGAAATGAATTAGACTCTACTTTCTGTAGATTCCTTCTTTTATTAAAAAATGATTTTAATGAAGTTCTTGGCCTTCAATTTTCTGTATTGGTTCTCTGTGCGTGTTTATTCTGGGCTAAAAATAAACAGCCCTTTTGCTTAATTCCTTCCTATATTTGTCTTTCTCATGTATCACTATAACTTAAGTCAGGGGTGTCAAACTCAATTTCATTGAGGGCTGCAGTTGCCCTCGGGGGGGGCAGGGGGGGCGGCCTACTGGGTGGGCGTGGATGGAGTGGGTGTGGCCTACTGGGTGGGCATGGCCAGCTCTACATCGTTTACGTCAAAGGTGCCTGTGGGGGCCTGGGCAGGAGTGGGACAGATCTGAGGGTCTCTGGCAGAAGGGGGTGGGATCGGGGCAAACGCCAAGGCATGGTCCATTTCTTTATTCCTCACAAAGGGTGACACCTCCTCAGCATGCACCCAGGGGGCAGGGACAACATGGCATGGGCTGGTTCCTCGCCGTTTCTAGACGGCCTTGTGGAGCTAAGACTGAATAAGTTTCAGCATAGATGGCCACCACAAAATTGTACATTGGCTCCCGGCTGGCCTGGGCCAGGGCCAAGGCAGCGGGGGCCGTTCCCTCACTGTTCCCAGGATGGCTTCGTGGGCCACATGAAACCACTTCGCGGGCCGCATCCGGCCCCCGGGCCTTGTGTTTGACATGTCTGACTTAAGTGGATATTTTTTTAACTTTTTCCCAAAATCAATCCACCCATTCTGGAAGAACTTCAATTATAGCACACACTTCTTGCTGGGCTAAGCTACTGAGGAAATGGATAGGAGATCTGTCTTTTGACTCCCTTCAAGTAAAAGTCCGCAGAGAGGGGTTTTGTCTGGAATGAAGTGGACAACATTTATTATCTAAGCTTTCACAAGAAGTGAGAATTATACATCTAAAACATTCCTCATGAGAATCATGGGGCCAATTCACCTGTTTGCATATGTGCATATATAGTTTTTTTGCGGTCATGTTTATATAACTCTAATAAATTCAGTAATTTCACTAAACAAAGACTTTTAGAAATAAGTCACTGTAAATAACAATAGAACTTAAGACTTATATACTGCGTCATAGTGCTTTACTGCCCTCTCTAAGTGACTTACAGAGTCAGCATATTGCCCCCAACAGTCTGGGCCTTCATTTTACTGACCTTGGAAGGATGGAAGGCTGAATCAACCTTCAGCCTTCCATCAGTGGTCATTCTAACCACTGCACCACCAGGGCTCAAGGTAAAGAAAAGTCGAACTTATTGTCAAAACATTTGTTTGCTATAACGTAACCAGTTACTTTCAAAAAGCATGATAACTTTCACAAAATTTTTGTGTTCTTTTCTAGAGTTGTAAAATCCCTTGAAAAGAAGTGGTTTGCAAGGCATGTAAACCCCATAAAATACAATCATTTAAAGGCTGTATCTGCATGTATATAGTTTCGACTAGAAAAAAAATGAAGCAAAGAGGCTATACCAGTGGTGGCGAATCTATGGCACGTGTGCCAGAGGCAGCACTCAGAGCCCTCTCTGTGGGCACGCGTGCCGCTGCCCCAGCAGAGTTTGCCAGAGTAGCGAGCACATGTCATTTGGAAGTGACAGGGCAGGAAGTGAGCGAGCAAGCGGCGTTGGCCCCTCAGGGATGCCCCAGAGATGGTGAGGGACTGGCCCCGGCCACGCTCACCCAGTCTGCCGTGACCACTGCAGCCACGCCCACCCAGTGGACGACCTCCCCCTAAGGGCACCACAATGCTGATGCAGCCCTGGCACTTTGCGATAAATAAGTGGGTTTTGGGTTGCAGTTTGGGCATTCGGTCTCTAAAAGGTTCGCCATCACTGGACTATACATACACATTTATGTGGAGACAGCCAGAAACTACTTACAAAGCAGCTGTGGAAGCTTGAAAAAGATGTGGCTGCTTTAAAAACTTAAAGAGGAGTGCTCTTTATCTATTGTTACACTTTGTGAAACACCTCTTTCAAGGGATTTGCTTAATCTTACTATTTTTCATCTTTGAAATGTTATATTTTGCAGCGGTGGTTGTTGCTTATGGTCTATCCATTTAAAGTATTAATTCCAGTGGCTTCTCAATAACTCATCTGCCAAAGTCTATAAATGTTATACACTGGGATAGGGAGGAACTGAGTATGCATTTATATATTTTGTATCATTATTTCAGAAGATTTTCCCTTGGAGCTGCACAAAGGACGATAATATATTTATAAATTTCAAAAAATGCACAACTTTTGCGTAACATCTAAAAAATTACCTTTGTGCTTCCTTAAAAAGTCAATACTCTTCTGCAATACAGTGGATTTATCCATCTTTCGAGCATTGCCCGGAAGCATGGATCCCAGTTCTTTGATGAGTATATTAAATTGATCTCTGCGTTTCTTTTCAGACTTGTTTCTTGATACTCTATTAAAAAAAATAATTATAACTAACATAAAAGAGAATGGCATTATACAAATTCTTGATGGGTAATTAACACTGGATCCTGAGGAAGACATGTTATAGCCACATCAAAGTCATAAAATTTAACTCTATCACAACTAAGAGAAGAATCCAAGGTCTTGCAAAGAGTAGATCAGGGGTCAGCAACCTTAAACATTCAAAGAGCTACTTGGACCCATTTCCCGCAGAAAACACTGGGAGCTGTAAAACTTGTGCACACATGCGCGCGTGCCGAAGAGGGAGCTTCATTGAAGAGTTTAATTAAAAAGAAATAGAGGCTGGTGTGCATGAATTCTCTCTCTCTCTCTCTCTCTCTCTCTCTCTCTCTCTCTCTCCCTCCCTCCCTCCCTCCCTCCCTCTCCCCCCCCCCTTTCCTCTCTCCGATCTTCTGCTCACCTGGCCAGCTGGTCTGACACTGTTCTCCGAGAAGCTGACACACATTCTTATTGGGTTGGCTCTCTCCTGCTCTTGGTCTGCCAGTCCTCTTCCCCCACTCAGTGTGTGTGTGTGTGTGTGTGTGTGTGTGTGTGTGTGTGCGTGAGAGAGAGAGAGAGAGAGAGAGAGAGAGAGAGAGAGAGAGAGAGAGAGAGAGAGAGAGCGCTGCTGCTTTCTGCTTGCTGCTGCTTTCTGCGGAGACGCAGCAAAGGAAGGAGCCCTGCTCAATAAGCTTGTCAGCTTGTCGGAGAACAGCATGAGGCCACTGTCTTTTTTACACACACACACACACACACACACACACACACACACAGAGAGAGAGAGAGAGAGAGAGAGAGAGAGAGAGGGGAAGCGCAAGTGCCTCTCTCTGTCTCTGTCTCTCTGCAAATGGCGGAGGAGGCTGGGAGCCACAGGAGAAGGCTCAAAGAGCCACATGTGGCTCCGGAGCTGCAGGTTGCCGACCCATGGACTAGAGGAATGCTGGATCTAGTAGAGAGGAGCCATGTTGGTCAGATGGATGTCCCACAATAAATCCCAAATAAAGCTTTATGGGTAAAAAAAGTAGGCAATCCTATCACTAACAGGACCTGAAATTGAGTATTTTAGGCAGTCATGAATCTGAAGCCTCCTTCATTTCTTTAGCTATCTGCCCATTTTCCAAAGTACATAACCACCAACTGACATAGTTCCTTTCCCAACCATTACTTGGTAAGAAAGAGGAAAGTATAAATCCTACATCACTGTTTCAGAAGTTATTACAAAGCATTCCAATCCCATCACCCTCATCACCAAAAAGCTCCTCCTACTGATTTCATAAAAAATATACATACAAATTGATAAGTAGAATATGACTAAGTCTAGATTCAGCAAACCCATTTTCTCCCTTAATTTTTAAATTTTGTATCAATTAATTATTTTAAAATATATAGAAATCATCTAGGAAACAAATATAGGACCATTCATCAAAATATGGTATTTTGGAATTAAGAATACATATGTCATCTTTTCCACTTTTGCTATGAGAAACTTGATTGGGGATGCATTTTTTCCCCTTTTCAAAACCATGATCAGGACTACTAGTCCAAATAATTACGTGAAAATATTTGCTTTAGACACACTAATTGCCTTGATATGTCCACTTTAACTTTTTTTTCTTAAAAAAGGAAACAGTTTCTAAATAGTTGCACATATGCAAATACAAGATTTTTTTTAAAAAAATGTAGAAGTCTAGAATCTCCTTAGAATAAAATGGGGGAAAAAAAGTTATTTGCTCAGCATTTTTCTTACAGTAATTAGTAACTAAATTACTACTCAATGTTTACTGTAAAACAGATACTGTCACTTCCACATTGACGACAATGGGAACGGAAGAAGAAAAGACTATTTCCAGTCAATCTTTCATTTTCTTTCCATATCTCCATTCATTCTTCGACAATATACCTCTCCACCTTATGGAGATTGTTTCAAAACGCTATCTTTGAATTGCACAGAATGCCCTTTCAATGCATAAATACCCCTCTTGGCCACAAATAAAGAGTTTTCGTGCTAGCTCTTCCACAAAACAAACCTCTTTGCTTTATCCTTGTCATCTTCTTCCACGAGACCATCGAAAATGCTGCCATCATCTCTGCAAAAAAAAAAAAAAAGGGGGGGGTGTTAGAGCAGAGTTCCCCAACCCCAACCCCTGGCCCACAGCCCACTACTGGGACATGAGCTGTTCAAAACAGGGCCACCCGAAGCGGCAGGCAAGAGCACACGTGCGCACATCCCCCCCCCTTGCGGAAGCACTGGGCAAGTGTGTGCACGCGCTGTCCATTTGCACTACTGGCGGGCATGTGTGCCCACTGCTCGCACAGATGGAGCTGAGCACACGCCACTCAGGCAGAACCATCCCCTCCCATCCTACTGCAGTCGGCAAAGCCGAAAAGGTTGAGGAACTCTGTATTAAAGAACAATTGCAGAGTAGTGTTGATCATGAAGACATAACCAGAAGCAGATACTTCAGAACCAGTTAAGTAGTTATTTATTCATTTTGTCCCGCATTCCACGCAAATGACGCAACTGTTTTAACAATTCAAAAAGAGATACATCCAGCACAGGGATAGGCAACCTCGGCTTTTTTATGACTCATGACTCATGAGCATAGCTGACTCAGGAATTCTGGGAATTGAAGTCCATGAGTCATAAAAGAGCCTACTCCTGATCCAGCACATTCCTACCAAGCTTTTTTTTTTTAGTCCACACCCATGTCTCAATCATGCCCCATATTTTGGGATAATGTGAAAGCTTAATTCTAATTTGTAACCAATAGAAGATCAATATTTCACCTTCTTTGAAATCCTCATTTACAACATGGGTAACTTTGAGAATATAAACTTAAAATTAACGAAACTAAGCAACAACTTACCTGTCTGCAATGGAGCTCATTTTATGGATGCTTATGGTAAGGAACATAACATATCATCACACTTTAGTCTTGTGGTAGACATTTGTAATTCTGATCTGCGGGTAAATGCAATAAAAGGAAATAGAATTTGTATTTTTTTTCCTTCTGTTTTCTAATGAATTCCAACAAACCACCCAAACGCTCAAGAGTCTTTTGGAATCGGTATCTTCAATATAGCTCCTTTTCTCATCGGGTTATGCCAGATCACGTGCCACCATAAAAACCAAGAAGAAATCAAGTTCTTAAAAAAATATCAAACTTTGCTATTTTTTTTAAAAAGGCTCAAAAATCCCATTACTGATGCCTTGACATATGTAATCTAGATTCCTGCATTCAGTCTCTAGCCTTATTTATAGATATATATCATAAATATCCAAATTTAAAGTTGCAATATTTTACCGTGTATTTCTTTCTGGATGACAAATGGCGATATTCAGAAGGGCCAATTTTTGAGAGAACAGTTTCTTCAGAATGTATTGCCCATAGAGGTTCTTTTACATTCTAGCTTATTACTGATTAAAAGAAAAAAGAAAAAAAAATAATGTTTTAATCCAAAGGAGGAACACCCAATATTAATCATAATAGTGGTAATAATGATACTAACAAAACAATATATTTAATAACATAAGAAATGCTTGTTGGATTAGACCAGGGCAGTGTTTCTCAACCTTGACAATTTTAAGGCATGTGGACTTCAACTCCCAGAATTCCTGAGCCAGCATGGCTCAGCTTGGAAACCTCTCCCTTTTCCCTCAGCATGGCTGGCTTAGGAATTCTGGGAGTTGAACTCCAAGAGTCAAAAAAGAGCCAACGTTGCCTACCTCTGGATTAGCCCAATAGACTATTTAATCCAGTATTTTGTGGCCTGTAGTGACTAATTAGATACAAAAGTACCACATATTCTCCCAGCAACTGGTGTTCACTTTCAGTCTTGATATCACTTTAAAAATATAAAAGTTACCAAAGTTGACAGCCATATCGTGAAGGGGAACTGCATGGCTTAACTGTATAGTCTGCGTAGAAATGTTTTCCTTTGCCTCTAAGTTTCTTAATTTAATTTCATATTCTAAAATGGAGAGAAATTATCTATTATTTCCACACTATGAAGAATTTTGTACCACATGCACAGTTTCACACAAACCCATCCCATTTATTGTCCTTCTACGTATAAAACTCTCAACTATTTCTCTCCCCCATAGAGAAATTATAGCAATCTCATGACCATTTTAATTTATCTTGTTTCTTAAACTAATGGCATGAAAGGGCTACCTAACAAGATGAAATTTCTTTAGAAATTCACTTTTTAGTAGCTATATCAGTTCTTATATATCGGCCCACTAACTAAACAGTTGTTTTTAATACGGTGCTTGGGTAGATGATATAGTTTATCTAATTAATCAGAGTGCATTTTCTTGGACCTTTTTGATTTCTTTGCATCACTGAACACCACTGATCACATATCTTACTGACTTTTACAACAACTGGAACTCAGGGGCACCATTTTACAGCGGTTCCACTCCTACCTGAATTAGCAGTTGCAGTCAATAATTATAGAGGAACAGAAGTTGAATCCTTGGTTGCTCCTGTGTGGGATGCCACAAGACTAGGGATCTCTTCTATATAATTTAACATCTATTTGAGGTCGCTGGGAGAGACCATGTTGTCTTGAAGTGAAGGGTCATTAGTATACTGATGATATCCATATACTATCATTCTGGGCCAGACATGCTGTAGAAAGCCTGAATTGGCGTCCGGAAGCTGTCAGATTCTGGATAGGATGAAACAAACTAAAATCAGCCCCCCAAAATATTGATTAGTTTTTTAGCAATAAACATCAAGCAGTTTAATGATACCAGTCCTGATAGTTATATAGATTGGGTGTATTTCAGAGTCCTCCTGGATACAAGGCTCTTATTTAAACAAGAAGAAAAAAGTGGGTCTGGCCAAGGAGACCTTTGCCCAGCTTTGGGCAGTATTTCAACGGTGACCCTACGTTGTCTAGGATGCCCAGAAAGTGGTTGGGTAGATGACCTAATCACTATGTTGCTGGATCAGAAAAATGCGCTGTAGGCAGAGCAGTCTTTGGCAATCCCTTGGCAGCTGCACTTGTTCCACAATGCAGTGGGCAGACTGCTAAGCAAGGCAGCCTAATCACTCTTAACAGTGGTTCTCAACCTGTGGGTCGGGACCCCATTTGGGGTCGAACGACCATTTCACGGGGGTCGCCAAACAACGCAGTCTGCCATTTTTTCCCCCCTTTCCTTAGCTGTGCTACTCTCTTTTATTCTGTTGACTTTTGAAAGCCAATAGAAGAGACTCTCTTGAATAGAGTCTAATTCTTTTGGCTTTCAAAAGCCAATAGGAATTGTCCAGGCTGTCTCTGCCCTGCTGAGCCCGCCAAAAGTCCCATTCTGCAAACGGTGCTGCACCAGTTGAGTAGTCCTCGACTTACGACCGGTTGAGTAGTCCTCGACTTACGACCGGTCGGGAGTCGCAGCATTAAAAAGGTTGAGAACCACTGCTCTATAATAATGCTGATCTTGAGATTGCTGCCCAATTTAAAATACTCAAGACCCCACAGGGCACCGCAACTGGTTACATCAGGTATTGCCTTGCCAAAACTGATTTTGTCTGGAAATACCTAAGGTTTGGTGGAGTGGACATGTCTTTCTGTGAAGAAGCGGCAGGCCCTGGAATATGCTTCTACAAAAGTACTTGTACCATCCTCTTACCTTGCACTTTACAAGGTGGTTAAAATTTTTGGTTCCACTGCAGCATTAGCTCTAATTGACTGATTGTGGGCATTCCATCTTGGTTAGGTATTTTTTGTTCTGTTATGATTGCTATTTAATTTTCTCCACTTACTTGTGCACTTTGGAAAGGGGTGTACTCTAAATATTTTCAGTCAAAATAAATAAGGGTTTGATCTTGAGTAAGTCCTTCTTATACAATTAAGGCTATTCAGCAAGGCTACCATCTCAAAAAGCTGCAACGATTCGATCTGATTTATTAATGTTCGGTGATATCACTTATCTATCTATAATTATATATATTATGTAACTCGGCACATATATATGTACACACGCACATATGCACACATGCTGTTTGCACTATTTTTGGCTTGGAAAAAGCAGATGCTCACTACAAATAAGCATCACTGTTCAGTCCTGATGTTGTAAACCTAATCAACATACACAATTTAGAAAAAAACAATAATTCCAGAGTGGCTATAAATCATTTGATACGCTTATACAACTAGTTCAGTTTGGAAAGCATTGTTAGGTGATATGTGAATATGGTTCCCATTAGTATACATTTTTAGACAATATCTTCAGGAATCCAAATTCTTTACTAATACTGGATACATGCTGAGGTACTCATGCAACCAATATGTGAATTTTACTTTATCAATATGTGAATAGAATAGTAAAACTTAACACAGATAGAATTATCTTAATAATGATGACTTTGTTCACAAAATACAGGTAGTCCTTGACTTGCAACAGTCATTTAGTGACTGTTCAAAGTTTTAAATGTGACTAATGACCGTTTTTTAAAGTTACAATTTTGCAGTATCCCTATGATCTTCTTCTTCTTGTGCCATATCCGTTATCGGACGTTGGCGATCATGTTGGTGATCCTGTTTTTATCAGCAGCCGCACAAAAAAGTACTGCTGAGTTTTGTCCAAACCAGTCCCTTAGATTTTGAAGCCACGATGTTCTTCTTCTGCCTGGACCTCGTTTGCCTTCGATCTTTCCCTGGAGGATTAAATGGAGTATGCCGTATTTTTCTGGGTGTGGCATCACATGTCTGAAATACTCTAATTTTCGTTTTTTAATTGTTTTGATGATTTCCCTTGACTTTCCCAGGCACCTTATCACCTCCTCATTTCTGATCTTGTCAACCCATGATCCCTATGATCATGTGATCAAAATTCAGATGTTTGTCAACTGATTCATATTTATGACCAATGCTATGTCCCAAGACCATGTGATCCATTTTTGCAACCGTCTGACAAAGTCAACGGGGAAGCCAGAGTCACTTATCAACTGCAGTGATTCACTTGACAACTGTGACAAGAAAAAGTCGTAAAATGGGGCAAACCTCACTTAACAAATGTCTCACTTAACAACAGAAATGTTGGGCTCAATTGTGGTTGTAAGTCAAGGACTACCTGTAGCTGCCTTATTCCTAGACGTCCTACTTCCTACCTTGCCAATTTCCTCTTCGAGAACTTAGTTATCTCATGCCTAATCGTTATGGTTATTTTTAAAACGAAAGACTTTTTTGTTTCTATTGCTGTTCAAACACTGAACTACTATTTTGAGCAACTTTCTAAGAAATAAAATAGGAGAATATTTAACTGTCATTTACTATAACCTTTTACCAGTAGAAGTATATATTTAAAAGTATATAGAAGTATATATTTAAAAGAATTAAATTGGTATAAATTAAATACAGGGAAACAATACAATCTGATATGATGTCTTTCTGGTCCAATAGTTTGTGTCCTATTTGACTTAACGGGTAGTCCTTTACTTATAACTGGTCCCTTAACGATTGTTGGAAGATTCAGCAGACTTGAAAAACTGGACTTGGGACCCCAAAATTTCAATGACTGGAGTCCCTCTGGGTATTTGTCAACAAGGCTACAGCTGTTTGCAGCATCCTGCAGTCGTATGACCACGTTTTATGATGATTTTACCAAAAACCAGCAGTTGTTTTTAATTTGCAGGAAAATAGTGCCCGTAGCAAACCATTGGTTTGCTTAACGACTGTGGATTCACTTAACAACCACGGTGATTCGCTTGAAGACCACCACAAAAAAGCCATTTTATGAATAATGGGCAGGTTCCGATATGGTCGTAACTCAAGGACCACCTGTATTTTTTTTCCTGAAATTAGGCCCTTATTGGACTGGTCCACCCCGGTGGCAGAAGGGTTTCAGAGGGAGCTAGGGATGGTCCTGTTTGGTCTGCTGCATAGTCCATCTAAAGCAGAATAACAGAGTGACAGAGTTAGAAGGGACCTTGGAGGTCTTCTAGTTCAGGGCTTTTCAACTGATGGCATGAGTACCACTAGTGGTACTTTGGCACCTGGCAGGTGGTACATGACCATCCTAGACAAGTGTAGTGGGGTTAGCAGCAGTACCGCAGAAGCCTGAGGGAGAGTCAGCTGGAGCTGCAGGGCTGTCAGGGCAGGGTGGAGTAGGGGCAGTGCAGGGGGTGTGGGCCGGGCAGTTTTGGGGCACTCGGTCTCTAAAAGGTTTGCCATCACTGCCCTATACCACTTCAGACAAATGGTTGTCCAATCTCTTCTCAAAAACTTCCAGTGTCGGAGCATTCACAACTTCTGGAGGCAGGTTGTTCCACTGATTAATTGTTCTAATTGTCAGGAAATTTCTCCTTAGTTCCAGGTGGCTTTTCTCCTTAATTAGTTTCCATCCATTGCTTCCGTGGTTGCTGCCTGGAATAAGGGGGTGGCTAAGGCCTTGGATTAGATTGCGCCTATAACCCTCTCGTGGATCCTGTCAACCCTGGTGGTTAACAGAGGTGCTAAGGGAGAAGAGATAGGAGATGTCTACAGCACTGACAGCGCTCAACACAGGAGAAATTTGACTAAATGCAGGTTAGAGCCACTATTAAGACCTATCTATCCACTTCTTTGTTCTATTCATACTACCAATAATTTGAATTCTGGCAGAAAATAAAACTGCACACCCACTTCAGAGCTATGTTTAGCTCTCACGATGCTTAGAACTAGACCAGGGGTAGGCAACCCAAAACACTCAAAGAGCCACTTGGACCCGTTTCCCGCCAAAAACAAAACACGGGGAGTCGCAAAACCCTTTTGATATCTAAAATGAAGATAACACTGCATATATTCTTTTTTACCTTTATTATAGGTAATATATATGTATGTATGTACTGTATATATCATAAAGGTAAAAAAGGATATATGCAGTGTTATCTTCATTTTAGTTGTCAAAAGGGTCTCCCTCCCTCCCTCCCTCCCTCTCTCTCCCTCTCCCTCTCTCTCTTTCTGCCCTTGGTCTGCCAGTCCTGTATGCTTATTGGCTTGTGCTATCACATAGCATTTTTCTGCTACATAACAGCAGATGCCTCTTGACTCTCAATGGTTTGAAAAGAGGTTTTCCAAAAGTTTTAAGAATTGGGGAGAAACAGATATGAGGGAAACACAAACCAAAAGCTAATTTGTTACCCTCCATTTTGGAGGATCTTTGGATGCTGGCCTATGTACTCTAAAGAATAACAAATACAATACAATAGGTATCACGGCAACAAAATGGGAATAAGGAATTAAAATTAGCAACTGATTAATATGAAAATATGTAAATGTGAGAAACAAGTAATACGGCTGTGGCAGGATACTACAGACATGCAACTTGGCAAACTTGGTTGATGCTTTCTTAAGCAGCATTCTTATACGAGGAGCATTCTCGTTTTACAACCACATGAAATAAAATAAGCAGGAGTTAACCAAGTTGTAAGTCCAATATTATACTACTGAGATGAAGTAAAATCTTCTGATTGTAACTATGGATAGGAGCAGAGGCACTGTATGGGACTCCTTGAACAGGAAAATACACTATTGAATTGTGGTGACAGCTGTTATTATTCGTACAAGTTACATTTTCCTTTCTGCCCAGAGGCAATTAACAATAAAACATGAACAACTTACAATCCGATAGAAACAATTAAAATCACTACTAAATAATTGAAGCTGAAAAGACCAGGCTAAAGAAG